ATCCAGCTTCTTCCTGATATGATTTAGCTTTCATCCACCTTGAGCATTTCAAGCTGTAGACTTCCTGTGTCCCTTGCTGCAGCAAGAAGGGCTTACACCTCAAAGAACTCACTTGGGAGTTGTAGTATGCCTTTTCTTCATTGCTTTTGACCCTTAGTTCTAATTAGCTTGTACTTTATAATGCATTACTGTGAGTTGAATTTGCTTCCTATACACTCAGCTGAGTTCCAGAGAAGGTCCAAGCAAGTGGAGGTCGAGGACAGGGCTTGATGAAGAGAACTAAAGTGGAAGAAAATGAAAACCACTTGCCAGTGGCAGCAGCAAGGTGTTCATGAAATAGCACTGTTGAAGACATCTTACTTTCCTGTAAGAGATATTTGTCCCTGTATGGGTTGAGGGGGGCTTTTGTCTTGGAAGTTGCACCTGGACTTGAGCTTCTTATAAAGGTGTTTTGCAACATATCTGGGACACCAGTGTGTGATGCCTAATTTTACTGGTATCCAGGCTGTATAATTTATCACAATACCAAGAAAACTTGGAGCAATGTTGAGAAGCTAGGTGCTTGTAGTTAGAATTCAGTTGAAATTCTTTTTGCTTCAAATCTTGACCAATATTGGATGCTTTATTGTTAGATAGATTTCTGGTTTAATCAAATTTTGAGTCTTTGCTTCTGTTTCCAAACGACTTGAAATGTGTTTGTGGTCTGATAATTTGGATCACTAGAGGCTTATCTGTAAGAAAGACATATTAATAGCTCAAGTTTTGCTTCTAAGTGACAATGGTCTGTGCATGCAGATCATTCTCTGCATATGGTGAAGGCTTTTAGCTCTGGCCCATTGTGGCTGAAGGCTCGAGGGAAGACGTAGCAGTTGTTCAGGTGACGTGGTAGCTATATAGGTATAAAAGTGCTTCTGGTCCTGCAAGTGTGGTTTCAGAATCCTAGTATTCTGAAAGAACATGCACAAGTCGGCTCACAATTGGAAGCAGGTTTGTAAATTGCCCTGTGCTTATCACAACAACTGAACAGGGTGCACCTATAGAAGTTTACTGCCATTCCTGTGTCTAAGTGTAGTAGCTAACTCAAGTTGACTGTACTGAAATGAAGTAAAGTGTGAGGTCAGGAGGAGGGAAGAGGGCTCACAGCGCTGGTATCTAGTGCACATCTTCACCTGTGAGGAGCTTGCAGACTCTCACACCGTTGTCCTGTGCTGCTGCAAAAGAAGCTGGGAGTTGTGTGCACTTAAGTGCCACTCTAGGAATTTTAATTTCTTACATTTCACTTACATTTTTTGGTGCTGTCTTAGTTTGAGGGTGACCTTACAGGATTATGGGGTTTGTGTAGACTAATACTGTGTGACACTTTATCTCTCCCTATCCAAGTGTGTTGGCAGCAGATAGCGTGCAATATGTTGCACGTCGTCTCGTCTCACAGTTCAGTTTGTGACAGCAAGAGCTTTGAAGGCAACTTCTGTCCTCTGCCTGTGCCTTAAGCCCATAATGTGTCAGAACAACTCTTTAAAATAGAATTTTCTGGAAAAATGAGTATTGGAATTTTACAGGAAATTAACAATTTCCAAAACAAATAAATTGTTTTGAGGGAGAACACATTTCTTGAATGTCTATTTTTGCTTTCTTTTCCCTCTGAAATGGATATTTTAATAACACAGACTTCACAACTGTTTTCTGTTATGTCTCTAGTTTAACTAGTGTAAAAAACTTCTCTAAAATGATTGCTTTTGACTTAGGAGGTTGCTTTAAGAACTTAGATAAGGTGTAATGCATCATAGCTACTGGGTTTATTTGGGTTTGGGTTTTCTTAGAATGGAGATAACATTTTGGATTACAGTGTACATCATTTGTAAGCTGTTAATATGCCATACTTTAAATACTTGGGATTAAAATCTGTAATATGCTTTTTAAATACTTTTCAGTCATACTGATTCTAAGATTTTGTGGGAGATTAATTAAAGTGCAATTAGGTCATATTTTTAGATGAACACATGCTTTCTTGAAAAAACACTAGGTTAAAAAGCAGGCTGCTGATTTGTATTTAGCAGACTTCCTCTTCAGGGTTGTGGTGTGTCTGTGTTCCCATTACAGTGTGCTAATAACAAAACCCGGAACCACACCCCATTGCATTACTCTAAATTCACTCTGCTTGGAGTTGATGGGTTTTCTCCCCCTGTTGATCTCCTCAGTGTGAGCAGCTGTTTGCTGGAAAGCACATTATGGACCCCTGAGTTTTCAACAGGCCAGGAAGAACTGTCTTTTGGCTAATGGGAAGTTAATAGGCAGCATTATCTCTGGAATACATCAAGGAGATGATTGAAAGCTTTGTTGGTGTTGAATTTTTCAGAACATTTAACACTGCAAGTTAAACTTGTATTCAATAAGCATCTTGCATCCAGCTGAAGAGGAAAATCATTGATCTTAAAACAAATGTTAGTGACATGCATCAAAGAGTAGAATTTGGAAAACAGCACTTATGATACCCAAAATAACAATAAGATATTTACCCTTCTAGTTTAGTGAACTTTCACTGTGGTTCTACATTGGTAGTGTCTGTAGCATCTATTCTTGCTCTGTCATTTGGAAAGTATAACTTCGTACTTTGACATGTTTGTGAGGTTTTGCTCAGTGCTTTGTCAGGAGCTCTATGATCTCATACACATGATGTAGCCCAAGTGTTCAGATAGGTCCTTTCCACCTTAGAGCTTATATTAATTGAAGCCTAAATAAAGTTTTGGTAAATTAAGTAAACCAAGTGTTGGTTGCTGCTGTGTTGTGGTTGTTGAGGATGCACCCAATGGAATATTAAATCTCTGGTAAAAGGGCAGAAGGGGAGGTATTCATGCCAAACAAAAGGGCTTCTCTGCAGCTGTAGTCCACGTAGATCAAAAAAACAAGGCAGCAGCATTAGAAATCTCCATGTCCTAAATTTACCACAAAGGCAGACCATAACTAGGTAATTACTTTCAGGCTATGGATCTTTTGTCCTTGTATCCTTTCAGTGCTGCATGTCACTGTAAGCTGTAGCTTCTGCTGTGATTGTGAATGTGGTTCTTTTTCTTTTCTATTCCCTTCTCGTCTGCTCAAAAAAGTGAGGAAGGTGCTTTTAAGTAGAAAGCTGCCTGTGTGCCAGGCAGTTACTGGAAGTCATTTTGTGTTTTGAGCCTACCATTTTTCAGCAGTTCTTTTGAGACAGCTCTTTTTAAACTTCTTTTTAAACATTTGCCTACTGCAAGGAAGTTCTTTGGAAATGGTGTAGAAAATAGAAACTTGCACCACAGCCCAAAAGGTATACATAGCTTGACAAGACAGAAGTAGTAAACATAATTTGAAATCATAGCAACTTGGAATGATGAGGGTGTCGCAGGAGAGCTTTTTCATCTTGCTTACAATCTGTGGCTCAAAGAAAATGAAAAATTCTGTCTCAATGCTATGACACACAATGCAAAGTACACTAAGCTCCCTAGTGCTTCACAGAAAAAAGTTGTATTTGGTGGTAACCTCAGGATGTTGTTACTGATGACTCATCTTGCCCTTATCAATTTCATCCATCCATGAAGAAGGGGTGCCCAACTTCAGAAAACTAGGAAGACGTTAATTACTCTCTATAGGACCTTTGTCACTTAGAGAGTTCTTGGAAGCCCTCAAAGAGGAAGCTATTAATACATAGCACCTCAAAATATTTTTTGTAGGAATCAGTTGTGTAAATGTGTCTTTGCACTTTGGCTTTGTAGAATTTAGAGAGATTGAAAAGAAGGATATTTCTTTTACCTTTACTGTATAGATGCAATTCAAGAAAAAGTCTGTACAATGTGGCAGCAAAGCCAACTCAACTCTTAAGGTTTTTAAACTGTGATCCAAAAAGTCCTTTGATTTAGGCATAAATACAAGAAATAGTTCAGTACTATTATGAACTCCCGTTTTATTTGTAATGCTGTTCTGGTTTTTATAATTTATTTTTTTTCTGGAAGATTGTGGATTATACTTGTTAGTTGGTTCCCATTTGTAGAGTCTCTGATCCTACTCCTCATCTGCCAAATCATCTTTTTACATTAATGGTCTTTGTCTTAATCTTTCCATATAAAAAGAAATTACTCCAGGTAAGCTGGAAATTTGGCCTTAAATTTATTTTTAAGGAGGTGAAGACAACTGGTTAACAAAAATGTGATTCACCATAGAAACAGCTCAGCCAATAATATAAATGCAGTAAGCCAATAATATAAATGCAGTAAATTAACTGTTCCATAGTACTTTCATATTTGATACAGAACATAGCAACAAGATGATGGCTTGACAACAATAGCAGCTGCATGTATTTTTTTTTTCCTTTCTTTGAAAGAATGTTCTTGTGGGAAAAAATAGATTCCCTGGAAAGTAATTGATATTACGAGTTTCATCACAAAAATTCTGTGGGTGGATACAATAGCCTAGAAATTAAATTAGAGATTTGTATAATAAATGATAGGTTTGATTTGATGTGACACTTCTAGTCTCTTACAAGTGACATAGCTACAGGCAATAGAATAATCTCTTCCCCTTGTGAAGATAAATGTTGTATCAGACCAAACTATCTTATATTAAATTACAACTTCCCTTTTTTTATTTTTTTTACCATATGAAAAGATTCATGAGACTCTTCGTTAAATAATAGCATGACCCAATTATAAGAGTACTTCGGCCAAAATGTCTTGAAGATATTTTCTACTGTCAGGCATGTGATTAATTTATGTAGCGAACTGCCATAACAGACCTGATCTGAATAAAGGAATTTTCCTTTATGCAGCATGTGGCATGATTGTGGCCATACTGAGCTAGAAGGTGCTTTTCTTATCACAATTTGATGGAAACCCTCAGATAGAAATGAAGTGTGATAAGAGGAATCTGATAGCTTGACTGTCTTTCTTGCAGGGAAGAGATTTATGGTATGTGTGGCTCTTGTACAACTTGATTGTGCCAACATTTTCAGACCATTGTTTTTCATGTTTTGGCAGAGAGAAGGAGCAAGAAAGGGAAGAACAGTTAATGGAAGACAAGAAAAGGAAGAAAGAGGATAAGAAAAAGAAGGACTCTGCTCAGAAGGTGGGTTTTGATATTTTAATTCTTTTATCCAGCTAAAACATAAACAGTATTGGTGGTAATAAGATGTTAATTTGTTTGTATTTGAACTTAAAAATTGTTGCTTAAGAGTGGTGCTTCTTTAAAGATGCTTTTTTGCATCATTTTCCTGGAACTGAGCTGTTTAACTTGGATGTTTCTTCTCCTTAGAGTTCTGTGTAAAATGAAATGAATTTTTTTATATAAAACATTTAAATTATCTAATACGGCTTCTTTGGATCTCTCTCTACATGACTGCTGCTTGTTTGAGGTGTTCATGGATTGAAATACTCATGGGCTTTGGCAATTCTTGCCGTAAAGTTGAGTAAATATTTATTAGAGCAGGAAGATTTTTTTTTTTTTAATCCTTAAGGAAGTTTATATGAAATATTTACTACTGAAGATTCCATTTATGTTTTTTGCTAAGTATTACTTGAATTTGATGTTTTCTTTAGCTAATAAACTTTTACTGAAGTCTACCAGTTCAAGTCTGAGTTGTGGAGAAATTTTTAAGTCACCAAAAATTGGTTCTACTCAGAAAAAAAATTGTAACTTGGTGTATTAGACGGTCTGTATTTTACAATAAAATTTGGCAGGTTGTTCTAGGAGTTAGTTTGAGACTCTTAGGGCATTATCCATGCTTTTTACCAGTAAAATCCTTCCTGAGCTTCCCAGTATAAAGTAGGTGCAACTACCCTGGAGCAAAATGTCTATAAGATGATTTGGGTACTGGAGAATCTGACAAATGAGGAGAGGCTGGGAGTGTTATGACTGATCCTCCTGGAGGAGAGACTTGGGGGATCTCATCAATGTATGTTAATACTTTGTGGGAGTAAAAAGGTGGAGGCAGACTCTTCACCACAGTGCCCAGTGGCAAAGCATAAAGCATTATGTACATATTGAAAGTCTGCCTAATCATAAAAAGATTCCCTTTTTGTGCATGTCTCTGGCTGGGCAACTGCTGGAACAGGTTTCTCAGAGGGTAGTGGTGCCTCTGTCTTTAGATGCTCAGAACTGAGTTTCACATGGTCCTGTGCAAACCAGTTTTGATGATTTTGTTTCAAATTGAGGAGCCTCTTGGGGCCAGGTGGAGGACAGTGGTAGGAACTGTGGATTAGATTTCCAGAGGCTGTCCCTTCCAACGTGAATCATTTTGTAAAACTGAGAGCAAAGGCTTTATTTTCTTTCAGTAGTCTGTTTTTTAGTTGCTTCAGTAACCAATCAGGTGATGAAAGATGACAATGTTTACTTACATTCTGTCAGTTTCTGCTGAGAACAGACAGCACCAACTTCAGTTAAATTTTGGCTTATCCAGGGTCTTTTTTCATCTGGCTTTTTCACCAATTTGAGTCTATCAGTTTAAACTGGGTGCAAAAAATGTGTGTCAGTTGTCTTCATCCAGTTGATACATCCCCAAATAACAGTCCAAAAGAGCAGTTGCTACAGATACAGTTTCTCCAGTATCTTTTTGCCTCGGTGTTGGTGCTGTTTAATGTTGAAGTACAAAAGATGTATGTAGAAACCAGAAAGTGCAGACCCTTAGGAATAAAGAGTAGAGACTTGAAGATTATGTGCTGATATTCAGTGATAAAAGGGAAACTTGAAAAGGCTGTACTGATCATCTTGATAACAGTGCTGTGTTTACTGAGGAATTGGTGCTTTGAATACAAAAGAGATTTGCCAGCTTTCCTGTGTGGTCTCTCACCTACTAAGTTGTTCAGCACATATTCTGCCACACTCTCAGGAAGGGTAGAAACTAAGTAATTTAATCTCCTAGAGGCCAAACTTCACAGTAATAGTTGGAGATAGCTCAGAATTGCAAAGTGGGCAGCCAGATGGACAAAACATAAATGTGTGTGTTCATTCTTATTGACTATGGAGGTGTTTACCAAATAAGCAGCAATGATTTCAGAGTACCATTTTCATACCAGGTTTGTCTAACATGAAACAATTGCTCTGTCTGGATCATCTGAAACTCAAAAACTAAAATTTAATAAAAGAAATGCCTTAAAGAGAGGTTATACAAGCAAGTTGACAGCTTAAATATACTTTTGGTTGGTGTCCAGGGGCTGTTTGGTAGTCTGTCAGTAGGCTGAGATTTATTCCACCTTCCCATTCACTGTAGCTGCTTCCACCCTGCCGATGCTCATAGGTTGCCCACAGAGAGATGACACCTGTAAATCTGAGACACTGTCACATTTTTTCAACATTTCAATTTTAGATTAAAACAATCACAAAACCAAGTCCTTGGGACTAGGAGACAGAGACATTATAGGCAAAAGGGGTTTTGGTTTGTTGGTGTTTTTTTTTGTCTAAATAATTTGTGTTTATCATGTAGGATTTTTCAAGGATTCAGTGAAATGTTTTTTATCCAAGTAGACAAGTTACTAATTTACTGAATGTGTCTGCTGATGACTGTAGTAAACTTATCAGCATTACCAGATTGTGTTAATTAATATTTTTTCCCCTTTTCCTTTTGTATTCAAGCATCAGGGTAAATTAAGTATGTCACAGAATTTTTAACTGTTACAGAAGATGAATGTAATTTGATGTATACGGGATTTTTCAAAAGTGAAGTTGAAAATTGATGTCTGGCTTGGTATAGACACAGTTTTAGTACAGGTACATTTTTATTGTCCTTCAGGACATTGTATGTCTGTGAGGATGCAATGCTTAAGATTTTGTATTTTAGTGAATGTTCCACTTTGCATATTGCAAAGTTGATAGTGTGTGATAGTTGATATGCATTGACAGTTTTCATCTTTCCAAAGTAAATGATACTATAGTAATTTAGTGCAGTTTGTCTTTTCATTCTTTACCCTACAAAGGAGTTCTGGCTTGGTTAGTTTCAACAATAAACTGCTTTTTACTTGTGCTTTCATTATTCTATACTGTCACTGTGTGTTTTCCAGAAATATGGACTAGTTCAGCAATTTCTTTTCAGAATAGGTGTCATAGAACCTGACACATGATGATCTTTAGGGTTTTTTCATTATTGTGTAGTAGAACTCATGATGGACAAGTTCAAAAAATGCTACAGTACACAAGATTCCAGAGAACATACCAGTGATATGTTTGTCGCTACTGTAGCTTGAAATCTGCTGTACTGAAACAATGTAGGATACAGTAAAACCCATATTGAGTATGTTGGCCAGCGTGTATACTCATTTCAGTCATTGACTTCTTATTGCATTCAGTAGATTTACTTTACAGGTGTTGCTGGTAGTTTTTGTAAGTGTGGAAATGAATCCAGAAAGGTTTAGAATTACTTCTCCTTGGAAGAGATGTTCGGGGAAATGTGAAATGGGTAGATGGCAGAAAGACAGACTCCTGTGGTTTCTTCAGGCCCCAACAGTCTACTGTAGGGATACTCTCACAGAAGGAAGGCTTTGTTACACTTCAACTGAAATACATCACCTCCAAAATCTGAGAGAACTGTAATGCTATAGCACATGTTTATTTGTGCTTTGGAAGCCCATGTTTGGGATGAGGAGGAGGATTGAGTACTCAAAATCATGAATGTAGTATGATTGTTTCTGCCAGGGACTTCTGCATCAGCCAGTTATTACAGGAGTTGTAGTACTTTGGAAAACCTTGTATGTATGTGTGTATATCTAACTAGGACTGTTCAGATTTGTAGTTCATCAGTTGGTCGTTTTAATTCCTCAACAAATTCTGTTCTTGTGCTTATATATTGTGGTTGTGATTTAGCACAACATGTTCAGTGTTTGTTTTGTGCTGCTTAAAACTCTATTTACATTCTTGCTCTTAATTTGCAGGTCACAGATCAAAAAACCAAAGGTAAGAATCTTTGATCCTAAGGAGTACTTTTATTGACTTGAGCCAAGATTCAGATCTTTGTCAAAACTGTTAGAGAAGGAAGGGGACTAATGAGTAAAGATGAAATACTGAATATGAGTATGAGGTGATTAAAATGGAGAAGCTACAACTCATCTGCAGATGTGTTGTCAGCATCTAAGTACTTGAAAGGATGAGGATTGTGGATGAGTGGTTAGCTGAAATACTCAGTTCTCTGTTTTACAACGGTTTTAGTCAAATAACCAAGACTGAAACCACCTTTATAAAGGGAATGAAAAACAGCAAAAATACTGCTTATAGTGAGGTACCAAAATGAATGAAAATTACTTGGGTTTGGAAATTTAAATTCAGGCACATGTAAGTCCAGTAGAGAAAACAGGGCTCATGAATGAGCATCTTCGAAGTTGAACTAAGTAACTTAGCTGTTGTTAAAATATATTTAATCTTGTTTTGTGTATCAGTTTTTTTGATAACAAAATGGCTATTAGTTAAAGAAAAGTACTAAAGTAGTAACTTGATTTTATGGCTAACCACACCTTTTTGGGGTTTGGGCAATGAAGCCTATCTAGAGAAATTGGAAAACCCTTATAAAAATAAAATGTGGAGAATAATACATTCATGTTGCCCAAGAGAGACCCACTTGTGTTGATCTCAGATTGGTAAAAGTTTTACTGATTATGCTTTGTTTGTCTAGAGTCTCTTGAGCAGATTTTGTTATGGTGTTAGCACCTCAAGGATTTATGGTTTTCTTCTCCAGTACATCATACTCGTCAGGAGCAGCTTGTCTTTGGCTTGAGGGGCACCTGGTGAGCAGCAGGGAAACCTTAAGTGAGCCAAATGCAGTTGCTCTGTGTAGGACTGTCTTTTGGGAGAGAGTCAGCAACTACTGCCTTGCTTAAGAGCAGCACAGAGAACTCAGATTTGTTAACTCTGAATCCAAAAGCAGTCAGGTTATTTCCCATCTTTTTGTTTAGGCAGTGGCTGCATAGCCTAGTAAACTGGTGAAAACTTGGGTTCTGATTTCAGATTTCCAATAAAGATGATGATGCCTAGCAATCCAAAAACCAGTTGAAGGTCAGGAAGGTGGGGCCAGTTATATTTGACTGCTCATATTTTAAAATTACTCGCTGTCTAGGGTATATTCTTTACCAGCATTATATTTGCAAGAAATTTTGGGCTTTACATTCATCAATTTAAAATTGATGAATGTAAAGTTTCATCCTAGACACGGAAGCAAAAGGTCTGCTGCTGCTGCTTATTCCTGCTTCTTTACATTGTTTTTGATTATTGAGAAGGTGGAAGCTACACAGGATTTCAGAGATTAAATAACGAAAGCAAAGAGTCACAGTGAGTTCTTGTAGCCAACACAGGTTTTAAGTGGAAAACCTTCCGATTTTCATCCTTCCTGTTTTTCAGTGCCCGAAGTGACGAAACCAAGTTTAAGCCAACCAGTGGCTGCCAGCCCAATTGGCAACTCTCCATCGCCACCAGTCAATGGTGGCAACAATGCCAAAAGGGTGGCAGTGCCGAACGGACAACCGCCAAGCGCCGCCCGCTACATGCCTCGGGAGGTGCCGCCGCGATTCCGTTGCCAGCAGGACCACAAAGTGTTACTGAAACGTGGGCAGCCCCCTCCACCATCCTGCATGCTCCTTGGGGGTGGAGCAGGGCCTCCCTCCCCAGCAGCACCAGGAGCAAACCCAAACAACGCACAACCAGTGACAGGAGCACTGCTGCAGAGCGACAGTGGGACTGCAACAGGCAAGTGGTGATAGTAAATAATATTAAATGAACGTGTTGGTGCATGGCAGAAAAGAGATGGCTGAAATTATACATAAGCCTGCCATTATATAACAAAACTCGGGTTGCTTTTGGGGAGGTTCTACTGTTTTAGTGTACAGACTTCTGTTGGCAGCCATGGATATAATTTTTACTACTAGATGGAACAAGAGGTTTAATTTTTTTCAAGTATGTTTTGAGTGGTTTTAATTGGTTGCTGAAATGTTCTGCAGCAAGGTAAACACAAGGCATAAATAAACAGTAGTCACAGAGTAGCTCCTAATGGTTCTTCAGGTTTCTTTGACATGAATTTCCTGTCTTGTCACATTTTTGTATCATCTCGTAAAAGAGACATGCACATGCAAGGTCGGCAAAGGGCAGGTGTCTGTCATGTCTTGTCTGGATGAAACAGAAAGATGGCCTGTTGCTCCTTAGTTGTTTTTTTTTTTGTAGTAATCTTATTTTTTATACTTAGATAAGCCATTTTGTACAAGTGATGACTGTTCTGTTTTTACTTTTCAATTCATTTTGTATTCCAGAAGATAAATTGATTTTAGTATTGTTCAGTGAGCATGGGGAAGTTATAGCTGCTCCTGATTTTTTTAGACCCTTGGTGAATTGCAGTAGTTGTAATATTTCTTCTTTAATTATAATAGAACAAACAAAATTCCACTCAAAATATCTGCCTTCTAAAAAAAGACTTAGGTGACCTGAAAAGTCAAGGACAGCTGCAATTCTAACAATCAGGATGTTTAAAAAAGAAGTATTAAATACTTGAAAGTCAAAAAGAAGAAAATAACAATACTAGTATGTCTGAATTTTCTTTGAAAATTATGCCAGATCAGTGGGATGGTGATTTTTTAACCATCATGGAAGTCAAACTTCTTTGAGTTCTCTGTGGTTTCAAATTAAAAACAGAGGTGACTTGTACAGAAGTAGAGGTGAATTAGATGGAATGGCTGTCCTTATTAAATAGGATCCTAGGAAAATTAGTAATTCCATTTCTTTTGTGGTTTCACTACTTGAATTTATTTGTAGCAAATCCCTGTTCGACAGAGTATTTATCTTGTCTTTGATAATTGCTGTTTAATAAAGGAAAAAGTGAATGTCAAACTGTAATGGCAAAATTTTAACTTAGCAGTTTAAAAACAGATGTCTTGAAGATAAATTATTTTGATAAAACACCTGAAGCAAAACATGGCCTGAAGTCTATGGGTGCTGTGTAAAATCCTGGCAGTCATATGCCTTTATATTTATTGTAGTAGACTGACTGAGGAAAATTTGTGGTAGTGAAACATTCTAAAAGGTTTCAAAACTTCTCATGAGCAACATTTTTTTTGCTGTTGAGTGTACTATATGACAACCATTTTGAAGTATTTTGAGAGGTTCCTTTTGTTGTATGTAAGTATTTGACACTTAATATTTGTTTTTCTGAGGTTGAAATTTGGTATTGCAAATTGTCATATTTTTACACTTCATTTAATGGTGCGTTAACAGCTAAGAGACACTAACATGGCTGTATTAGCCATGGTTAGTTGCATTATCCTGATGTAAGTCAGGAGTGCCATGAAAGATCCGGGTCCTTGAGACCTGCCTCACCCCTTCCATTTTTTTGCACCATAATGAGTTAACTGGGCTGGGGAACTGACTTGTATTAAAATGAAATCAGGTTGTTTTTTAAAGCTGATTTTGGTCTGGATGACTTTTACTCATTCACCTGAGTATCAGTGAGAACATACATGCTAGCATGTGACAGTGGGTGTGCCAGAGGAGTGGGAATGAGCAGGTGAACAAGAGAGGGACGAGGCTTCCTTAGGTGCTCCATCAAAATGCTTATGGAAGTGCAATGCTGTTGTCTGCCTTGTACATTGTTTATCCCACCTCAGATCTGGCTGTCGGCTGACTGAAGTGCAGTTTGGGCCCAGTTTGGTTGGACATATATGCACTGATACTGTGGCTAAATTCATGCCACATGAAAGAAAAACAAAAGCAGGTTCCCAAAGGGGAAGATCATGCAGCTTACCTTCTTGTTCACATTCTTATATTCACCAGATGGTCATAGGTAATGTTGATGAGGATTTAATACTAAAAGTCAACATACAATCCTTCGTCACATGGACCTTTTTCTACCAGGATTTAAATCCCTGTGGCAAAACTGGTGCCCTGAAAGCTGTCTCATACCAGTGCAGGGGACTGAGATGATGGGTGTTCTATGTAATTCTTCCAATACCAGTGATAATTCAGGACATACAAGACAGTTTTGTACAAAAAGGTTTAAATTTTACTGGTGAAAGTCTTTCAATAGTTATGATTATTGCCACTGTCAAATACAGCAAGGGAAGACTGGTTTCATAAAACAGTCCATTGAATTGTGTCTTAGCATGCTATATGTGAGCAAGGACCCCTGTCTTAATACTTTTAGAATGTCTTCACAGAAATTAAATGTTCAAGTCACTGATCTGAAGATCTTGCTAGGTTCGGAGCTGCCCATGTATCATTCATTGGCTGAACCACTTCTAAGTTCAAAACCTGGCAATCTTGCAGTCTTTTGAGCTTATCTTGGTCTGTCCTCCTTAAGCTCTTCCTGTGATCTGTCTAATCTGAAAGTTTTTTAATTGGAAGGGGAGAAAAAGGGTTATTCTGTGCTAAAAAGATAGATAAAAATATCAGTGGAGTCATACTTCCTTGCTATTGTTCAGTTTGCATTTGAGGTTAAAGCAACAGAACGAACAGAATGTACTTGGGAACTGCTTGATCTTTTGGATCTTGGTGGGTGGGATTTAGTGGTTGAAGATAAACTACTCTTCATCAATATTCAAAGCTTAGAAGGGAGTTCTAACCTTGCTGTAAAGTCTGGATCCTCATTGGTGGCCCTCAGTGAAGGCGAATCTGGAAGGCATTCATTGGATGCTCATTGTTTAAGCTAATGAACTGAAAGCCTTGGACAAGCACTGAATGCTGATCTTATCTTCTACTGAAAGTATTAGCAACCAGGAATAGTGATCCTTACTTCAGAATATATAACATAGGAATTGAGGCTGGGACAGGGGAGTTACCCAGTTTTTTAAGCTGTTTGCTTTATTTTCATGGACGCTGTCATATGAGCCAGTACTGGTAGTAACAGTATATATTCACTTACGAATACTGCTATAGCTATTACTATGGAGTTTATGCTCCGCAAAGTAAGTGGGATAATGGATGTCAAAAATCTGATGTTCTGAGCTTATTATAAATAATACAGATTACTAATGACCTTTTTGGGCTGTTTCGGTTTTTTCTTTTAGATTCAGCAATTGGAGGTGCTGCTGCTTCAAATTATGCAAATTCTACTTGGGGTCCTGGAGCCTCCTCCAACAGCGGCACCAACGCCAACCCAACTCACATCTGGGACAAGGTGATTGTAGACGGGTCTGACATGGAAGAGTGGCCTTGTATTGCCAGCAAAGATGCTGAGTCTTCTTCCGAAAACACCACCGATAACAACAGTGCCTCAAACCCTGGCTTGGAGAAGAACGCTCTGCCAGGAAGCACCACTAGTAACAAAGGAAAAGGAAGCCAGTGCCAGTCTGGAAGCGCTGGAAACGAATGTAATCTTGGGGCCTGGAAATCTGATCCCAAGGCTAAATCTGTTCAATCTTCCAACCCTGCTGCCGAGAGTAACAATGGACTAGGTAATTGGAGGAACTTGAGTGGACAAGACAGAATCAGTCCCGGTTCTGGCTTCAGCAACTTTAACCCAAATAGCAACCCATCTGCTTGGCCAGCACTGGTTCAAGAGGGCAATTCTAGGAAAGGAACTCTGGAATCTGATAGTGGTAGCTCCAATGCACAGATTAGCACAGTAGGTCAGACCTCTAGGGAACAGCAGTCAAAGATGGAAAATGCGGGTGTTAACTTTGTCTCTGGCAGAGAACAGGCTCAAATTCATAACACTGATGGACCAAAAAATGGAAACACTAACTCCTTGAACTTAAGTTCACCAAACCCTATGGAGAATAAGGGAATGCCCTTTGAAATGGGCTTGGGGAACTCTTCCAGGAGCACTGACACCCCTTCTCAAAGCACTGGAGAAAGAAAGACAGGGAGTGTTGGATCTTGGGGTACAGCTAGGGGGTCTTCTGGAACTGACACAGTCTCTGGGCAGAGCAATTCTGGAAACCATGGGAACAATGGAAAGGAGAGAGAGGACTCCTGGAAAGGAGCTAATGTTCAAAAACCTAATGGGTCAAGAAGTGATTCTTGGGATAACAATAACCGGTCTACGGGTGGTGGGTCTTGGAACTTTGGCCCTCAGCATACAAATGAAAGCAAATGGGGTGAAGGGAACAAATTAACATCTGGGGTCTCTCAGGGAGAATGGAAACAGCTGTCTGGGTCTGATGAACTGAAGATTGGAGAGTGGAGTGGTCCAAACCAACCAAATTCTAGCACTGGAGCATGGGACAATCAAAAAGGCCACCCTCTTCCTGAAAACCAAGGTAATTCCCAGGCTCCCTGTTGGGGAAGATCTTCCAGCTCTGCGGGAAGTGAGGTTGGAGGTCAAAGCACTGGAAGCAACCACAAAGCAGGAAGTAGTGACAGTCACAATTCTGGACGCCGATCATACAGGCCTACGCATCCTGATTGCCAGGCAGTCCTGCAGACTTTGCTGAGCAGGACTGACTTGGACCCCCGAGTGCTTTCAAACACCGGCTGGGGCCAGACTCAAATTAAGCAAGACACCGTGTGGGATATTGAAGAAATGCCACGGCCCGAGGGGAAGTCTGATAAAGGAACTGAGGGGTGGGAGAGCTCTGCCACACAGACAAAGAACTCAGGGGGCTGGGGCGATGTACCCAGCCAAAGCAATCAAAACAAGTCTGGATGGGGTGAGCTCTCAACCCCAACGGAGTGGAAGGACCCCAAAAATACTGGAGGATGGAATGACTATAAGAACTCCAACTCTTCTAATTGGGGAGGAGGAAGGCAAGAAGAAAAATCATCTTCCTCTTGGAATGACAGCTCTAGTAAGGATCAGGGGTGGGGTGGACGGCAAACTAATCAAGGATGGTCTTCTGGAAAGAACGGTTGGGGAGAGGAAGCTGACCAAACAAAAAACAGTAACTGGGAAAGTGCAGGAAACAAGCCAGTGTCTGGTTGGGGTGAAGGTGGGCAAAATGAGATTGGAACTTGGGGTAATGGTGCAAATACAAGCTCTGCTTCAAAGGGTGGATGGGATGATTGTAAAAGAACTTCAACATGGAATGAGACGGGTCGACAGCCCAACTCCTGGAACAAGCAGCAGCAGCACCAGCACCAGCAGCAACAGCAGGAGTCTTCTGGTTCCTGGGGTCCACCGCCCCAAACTCCAAGTAATGGGCGGCCTCCAAACTCAAACTGGAACAGCGGACCACAGCCAGCTGCCCCCAAAGAGGAGGAGCCTAGTGGCTGGGAAGAACCTTCTCCGCAGTCAATCAGTCGAAAAATGGATATTGATGATGGCACTTCGGCATGGGGAGATCCTAGCAGTTATAACTACAAGAATGTGAATCTGTGGGACAAGAACTCACAAGGAGGACAGGCCCCACGGGAGCAGAGCCTGCCTACTCCAATGACTAGCAAATCACAAGCATCAGGTACTAGTCTCATTCCTTTCTTTAGCAAGCTCCTATATATGACTGTAACCTTAATGCATAGGAGAGACGCTTGTAGCCTCCAATTCCTGATAGTTTTATTCTATAAAGAAAACCAAATTCTTATTTGAATATTTGGTTCTGTATTTAAAGTGTCCTTAAAATCTGAATCCATCAGTCTTCTGCTTGTTGTGCTTCAGTAACTGATCTGAATGCTGGTCACCTTGCCAGGAAAGGAGGATGTTTGTTAGCTGACAAATCTGCACATTCAACTTGAGCTCTAAAGAACAGGTTGAATTACAGAATCAAAAAAGTTTTAAGACTGAGTCCATCCATAAACTTAATAAGCCCAGCACTGCTTAGTCCATGACTAAACTCTGTTCCTCAGTGCAACATCTGCAGGTCTTTTAAATACCTCCAGGGATGGTGACTCAACCACTTCCCTGGGCAGCCTGTTCCAATGCTGGATAATCCCTTTGGTGAAAAATTTTCCCTAATACCCATTTGAAACCTGCCCTAGTTCAGCTTGAGGCCATTTCCTCTTGTCCTAACTAATTCTTGTGACTTGGGTAAAGAGACTGCCCCAAACATGGCTATAGCCTGCCTTCACGTAGTTGTAAGAGAGCAGTAAGGTCTCCCCTAAGCTTCCCTTTCCTGGACTAAATAGCATTTTTTATATTTAATTATTAGAAAAGTGGGGAGAAAATCTTTACTTATTTTTAGTCAAAAACCTTTTGCTCTGAAACACTCAGTTAACACTTGAATTTGAGTACATCTGTGACAGTTTTTTAGTCAAGTTTGACTTTGCTGTATGATAAAGAGTACTTGGAAGAATATTCTCTTCTTTGGAATAAGGACAAGAAAAAGTTACATAGCCTGGAAATATATTAAGAAATTATTGTTATGTAATCTTTTCCTCTGACTCAAAGACACTTTAAGGAATGCTATCTTGGTTTAATACTGCAAATATGTCCTTTATTCAGTATATAAAACCCCTAAGTTAGATGCTTGTAATTAGTCACAAAAGTTCACAGATGGGAGGACAGTATTGGATGTGGAGTTCATGTTTAACCTGGGAGAAGAGTATTACTCATCAAAGCATTCTCTTCCTTTTCATCCCTGGAGGTCAGTGCCCACTCTAAATTTGTTGTGAGTGATTGTCAATTCTGTTGCACCCACGCTACTGAGAACCTAAAGTTCTCAACAAGAAGGAAGCAGTAGATTAATGACGTGGTTGCACTGCAGTAAAAAGTTTATTGTCTAAATGGTCTGTAATGAAACCTCTTCCTCCTTTGTGCAGTCTGGAGCAAAAGCACTCCACCTGCTCCAGATAATGGTACATCCGCCTGGGGTGAGCCAAACGAAACCAGTCCCGGGTGGGGTGAAGTAGATGATACAGGAGCATCAACTACAGGCTGGGGGAATGCACCTTCCAACACCCCGAATGCCATGAAATCTAGTGAGTACAGACCAGGTACCAGTTTCTTTGCTATTGCCTTCGAGATGTCTTGTGTTTGGCCTTTTGACATAGGTCACCTGTGGAAGAACTGTTATCTGAGGCCTAAAAGCAGTGCTTGTTACATGACAAGTCACTTTTTCTGATTATATCAGCAAAAGGCACGCACAATACTGACAAATTTCATTGTGGAGGCTATTACATGGTTTGATCTATGCTTTGATAATGCAAATTGGCTTTGAATGGATTTTTTAAAATTGTATAAGTGAGAAAAAATGAAACTCTTAAGAACTGCACTTTGTAATAGAACCTAAATGTCTGCTGCAGTGTCTTTTGTGAATGGTGTGTTGAAATATTATGAAAATTCATTTCAAAGTTAAAATTTTGCTATATTAAGAGTTTTTGAGGATATGATTCTTGATGATGTAAGTTGTTTGTAGTATTTTTATTTCATGCTTTTTAAAGAAAAAACAACAAACAAAAGCAATGTTATTGCCAAAGTCAGTAACATTTAGATGTGAAGTTTCCTGTAGGAGCTACTGTTGATATACAAGTGTTACTGAACTTAACTTGAATGGTTACTTAAACTGAACTTGATGATGCCCACTGTAAAACTGTTTCCAGCCCAGAAGTTGCTTTTACAAAATGTAATTGTTTGAAATGAAGTGATGTGTACATAGTTTGCTCTTGGGTCATTCTCTCTTCCTCCCTCCCAATTAAATCATTTAGCCATTTCTGAAAAAAAAAAAGCTTTGCTTCCTTAGGGTTATCATTGTAACAGGCTTTTGTGCATGACTGGCTTCCTGTGCCTGCCACACAGACTTGGCACTTTGAGGATGCTAAGCTGATTTTAGATGGATTTATTCTTTTATCTGTAAAAAGACACCTAAATATGACCAAAATAAGAACTTCCAAAATTGATCTGTTGAAAATTCCTGTTGGTTGGTTAATGCTTAATACAGCCTTTTAAGACTATATGTGGTCCCTCACTTACCGTGACTGGTTTGTATGTGTGCCATAACCAAAGAACTGCATCCTCCACATGGTGTTGTATATGCAAGCTGTCCCCAGGTCTAGAGCAAAATCAGGGACAGGATGCAGACTAGCTATGATAGGAAAAAGAAAAAAGAATCAGTTTGGAGCCAAAGAAGGAAGCATAGATCAGTATCTACCTGCTGAAAAAAGTAGATGTACGTAGTTCTGCCGGCATTGCATAGGAGTATTCTGGCAGAAATAGGAGAATAAATTGTTTTCTGTAATATCTTTTTGTTTTTAATCTTGAAAATTTCATTTGTGTTCTATAGTTCTTGGTACCTCTTTATTCAACAAATACAAAAGATTAAGCTGGTGTCATACAGACAAGTCATCTTTACATCACTGTCCAGATTCATGTTCAAGAATCAGAGAGAGTTGTCAGTGCAGAAAAATAATCTGTAGTCATGTAGTTAAAATCAGTATCATTTTTTAAGACTGTCACCAGAAATAAATTAAAGCTGCAGAGATAGTATAATACTTCCAGATTGTATTCTTGACTCTGCAATCATAATACTTAATTATAGCCTTTCTTTTGTAAGTAGCACAATTAAAGGGTCAAGAGGTCGATTTTTTTGCACTTGGACCAGTATGTTTCATAAGCAACCCTCAGTTTTAGTACCCAATTGAACAGACTTTAAAAAGCTGTTTTCTGTGAAGTATTTGAGGGTTTATATATGATGCATTTTAAGGTATCTTCTAAACCACCATAAAATGCTGCTCTACTTACTTTCATTATAATCAGGGTAGAGATCCCCATGGTTGACTAGCTGCAATTCCTGACTTTTTTTATATTCAGACTTTCTGCTATGTATGTTAATGTCCTTATTCCTGATTTTCACACTCAAACCCCAGAGAATTAAAGAATTAGTTATTACAAAAGTGATGATTATGGAAATCTTTTTTAAAGAAGATAAATAATAAATAAATACAGAAATAAATGTGCAGCATGAAGAGTTAGAACAGGAAGAACAGTTGGATAGTGGGCAGGATGAGGACTTGGGCTCCTGATGGTTTGTCAGTAAAGGTTAGAATTCCAAGTTGCATGACAATGCTAGAAAGTAACAGCAAGAAAAAAAGCCAGCAGGGAAAAGTCTGAACTGATACAGTGAAGGGGTTGTAGCTTTCTGATGTACTTAAACAGCTCTACTAGTCTCTTTAGCAACATTGTTAGGAATAGAATTTGTAGTAGAGGAGTTGTTTTTGTGATTTTTTTTGCATTAAACTACTTTTGGTGTTGTTTGTACCAGAGGACAATGTCAGGTCCTTGCCTTTAGATTCTGCTTAGTTGTTGTTCCTAAAAGTTGTTTGCTTCTGTAATTTTGTGGAAGAGCGTAAGGCAAGGGGGGAGTATTAAGGTTTTGAAGTGAGAGAGGAAATAATTGATAAACCACTGAACCAGAGTCTTCAGCACCCCTGGTTTTTGAGTGTGCTTTGAAGGCTTTCATTTGCACTCAAAAATAATAGATTGTCTTTTAAATGCAGCTGTATCTATATAAGAGGTCCCTATTGCTGTTATGTCTTTAAAGGTTTGACATTTCTTTAAAATAGTTGCAAAACATGACATGTGAGCATGCCCCCAAATCTCTTGGGTTTTGGGATTCGTGCACAAGTTTTTACAGCTGTTAGAGTGAAGACACATTTTTGAATTTTTTTCTTTTGTTTTTTAGTTCCTTTGGGATTCTGATGATCTCAGCTAATGTTGCAGTGTCACATCACAAGCTGCATGGAATTGTAGACTGCTTTTGAGCTTTTTCTTCTTTTTCTGAAGGTTCTAAATCTATGCAAGATGGCTGGGGAGAGAGTGATGGGCCAGTGACAGGAACACGTCATTCCAGCTGGGAAGAGGAGGAGGAGGGAGGAGTCTGGAACACAGCAGGCTCTCAGGGAAGCAGTTCCTCCCACAACTCAACAAGCTGGGGGCAAGGAGGAAAGAAAACACAAATGAAGGTAAAATGCTTGAATGATTCATTACTACTGTGTTGTCTGAAAACAGGCTGACTAATATGTTAGAGCATTATGTAGTTATTTTTTTAAGAAGGTTCTGCAGAGTTACAGAAAGGTGCCTCTTAAACTGGTGCAAAAAAAGGGAGGTTTTTTGATTTGCATTAATATATTACACCTGTTATGACTAATAAATCTTCCAGTAGGTGTCAAATTCTTTTGGTTTGTAAGCTGCACAGCCATTACTAAATGAAAATAAGTATCCCAAGGCTATTTCTCTGCTCTTGCTGACACATCTTTTCTGTTAGGCTCCTGCTGTTCTTGCACAGCCTGCTGAAGTCTGGATTCCACAGTCCCTTTGGCACATTAACTTCTTACTTCTAACAAATGTTGGATTTATGTCTGACTTGTGTTTGTTGTTGTTGACATTTGGCCTCAAACAGAGGCAGGAGTTTGGCTGTAGTCCTGAGTAAATTTCTTTCTAAGGTTTGTTTGCATTGAAGTTCTTTAGTACAGTAACACTTGTTACTGTATTAATTTTAGAAGGACTATGATGTGTCTGCTTCTCATGAAGTAGGGAGGGCAGACTCAAAAAAGCAAGGCAGAGCAGTTTCCTAAGAAGTGGAAATACTGTTGTGGTATGGTAGGAAGTTTTGCAGTTCCTGTTTAGCAGAAGTTATTCTCATGGACTTTTTTCTCACTCAGAACTTTTTCATTTTAACCACCAAAACAACTAATTTTTTTTTTCACTGTTGAACTGTGTTAGTATTGGTTTTGATGATGTGTTAATTACACTAAGGGAAGGGACCCTGGTCAGCACAGTGCCTGTGCAAAAGACACCATGCTAAAGGGAAGAAAGGCAAGGAAGAAATCTGCCTCTGTATGCACTAGATTAAAGTATGTATTTAACTGTTACAGAGGAAAAAATAACCAATGTTCACAAAGCTTTCCAGATTGCAGAATGAAACTGAAGGTGTGATAAACATTCTACATGGCAACATTCAATCAGTTTGGAATACCTAACAGTGAGCAATTGTACAAGACACAATATTTGGTAGATGTTTCCAAACATGTATATTTCAGGAGATTAGATTCTCTGATACCAGAATTTTCATTTTAAACATGCACATCTCAAGGATAAAATAGAATTTAAAGAATCAAGGAGTTTCTTAAAAGCATTTTTGTCTTTTTTTTTCAGTGTGCATTAAAAGGAGGAAATAGTGATTCGTGGATGAACCCTTTATCCAAACAGTTTTCAAATATGGGCTTGCTAGTAAGTAAATTTGTTTTAAAATGAAGTTCAACTTTGTGAAAAAGCTATAAGCTTTAAGTAAGTCAAAAGATCAGCTGTTTCAGTTATTTATCTGCATCTGCTGTGGGATGTTGATTATGATACCTGTAGTAGCTGGCTCAGAATGGCTTCTCAGAAAAACCCCCAAATCTACTTTTATTCCTAAAGTTACTTTATGATAACTCCTGCTCTGAGGTTGTATTGTCCTTGCAAGTAATAGATTTGGGAGGGGGATGTATGTTTTCTTATTTTGTTTGGTTGGTTTTGGGGTGTGGGGGGTAGTTGCTTTTTTTTGTGTGGGGTGGTTTTTTTTGTTGCTATGCTTTTGGGTTTGGGTTTTTTTTCATAACATGTTGTTTAGAGCACTCAAGATAGATGCTCCTGCCAGTGTCAAACATCTGTGATAAGTCAAAGGTATTCATTCTGAATCTCAGCCACCTATCAGAAAAGGAGATGTACAGCTCTGTGTCTGTCTTGGCTGAATTTACATTTGAAGTACAGCAGGATCTTTTTAGGAAAAAAAGGGCACATTATGAATCCACAAAGATTCTTTGGCAAAGTGAATAAATATCACATTATTGAGAAAAAGACAGAGCTGTAGAGAAGTATTTAAAAAATAACTACGTATCATTTTTTTAGGAACTTCTGACTAGCTAATTTGTAAAATATTTTGCAGAATACTGTGTCAGTTGTCATCCTGTGAAGCAGGAATACTATGTAATGCTGCCTAGCAGAAGATAACAATACAGAGTTTGTGTGAGAAGTCCAGGACTGCACAAGATGTCACTGACATGCTTAGGATTAGTTTGCAATTTCTTTTGGCTCCCAAGCTCTCATTCAGTTTGCTAGACTGTAGATGCTTCTGTCCCAGACTGTCCCAGACTGCCAACTGAAGAATCCCCTGGCAGCACATTTCAAGATTTGCTGGCATGACCGGTCATAAGGATGAGCTGTCATTTTTGGCCACTATTTTCAGTTTTGTCACTCCACCACTGGAACACAAAGCCAGGGGTTCATTTATGGAGCACCTCTGTATCCATCTTTCTCCATTGCTGCATTCATGTGTCTGGTTTCGTATGGGTAAACTTGCCATGCAGAGCATTAGGGGGTTGAGGCAAGGCGCGTCAGGCAGGGTGATATCAGAAACACTTGTGTTCCATTTTAGTTTAAAAAAAAGGTTTCATTGGCACAATGCAGTTCTTCCTGCATTCCACCTTTCTGAAATATTTGCATTGCATAGAACTCAGAGCTGAATTGTTGGTTGTTTTTTCCCCCCAGAGTCAAACTGACGACATTCCAGGCAGTAAGATGGACTTGTCTGTAGGTGCGTATATTTTAATTTCAATGTATTTGAAGTGTGAGATCATATTTATATATGAGAGATCATATTATTTATATGAGATCATATTTATGAGGATGATATGCTGTACTCTGGAAGGGTTTGATCCTTAGTTTTAGCACTATGCATAATAGAAGGGTAGAGTAAAAAACATCCTCTGTCTTGTCTGTAAGCTTTGACTTAGTGTGCAAGATTAGGATGTATACCTGTACAGAGTTATAACTTGGGGCAGAGAAATCTTTTAAGACTGTTTTAATCTTTTAAGTTTGTATTCATTGTTACTGTTTCAAACTTTTTCATTTGGTGGAAGAGTACTGTTTTCCCTTCTGCCAGTAGGACATCTCATTTACTACAGCTTCCTGGAGGTGATGTGAGGGGGAAAAAATTATCTTTTATCATTGATTTCGTCAGTTGCATGCCTCAGGCTATTACAAATTACTTTTCAGTTGAACTAGATTTTATGTTCTGGATAGCTTCACCACAATTGCTACATAGCTTAAGCATCATGGGCTGTGTGGTACCAAAGGTAGAGCTGTGGTAGTCAAGACTTACTTACATCTAATACTGGGTCTGGATTTTATGTTCTAATGCAATCTAGATCTAGATGTAATGATCTAATGCAGTGTCTCTCAGCTTAGAACCCATTTCATTCTTAAATTTCTATCACACTTCATATAGGATTCAGTTGTTCATTTTACCCAAAATTGTTCTTCCTCTGAAGTAGTTCAGGATCTCGGTAGGAGATGATGAAAACATTTACTTATGTAGTACGACACAGTTTTGTGGAAGGTAACAATTTTTTGATCTCCACAGTTTGGTCTCATGCATCCTCTATAGAATTCAAGCTCTGATTGTATCATGCTTCTCTAAAAAATGTCTAGGTGGAGATCAGTCATCTTCATGGGTGTTCAGTTCTCACCTGCTTTCAGATGCTGGTAAAAAACAGATATAAGCATATACAAATGAAGAGAATGGTAGCCTAGATTATGTTGATTCTCTTAGTTCTGTATCTCGAAATTAAGGATCCTTTGGAACTTTCAAGGACCCTAAGGCCATCAGAGCTTCTGAGGAGGTGACTGCTGCTCAGAATATCCTGTGAAAAGGTGCAGAAAGGCTGCATCTTTTTCCTTTATACGTTGCACTTCTCTGAGTTTAGTGTGCCCATTAATGGTGGCATCCCTTGATCTTAGGTAGAGCCATTTATTATGGCTTGTTTTCTGTTTTAAAGACTGGAAATATAACAGGTTCATAGGCTTTTCTGTTACTTCTGTATTTAGCAGTTTTTCTCTTGTTGCTTAAGGCATTTGTTCATGGAAAGCTACTGTTTTGCGCAGCCCAGGTCTGCTTCTAAACTTTAAAAGCTGAACTTACTTACGAGGTAGGCTTGTTCTTAACTGGTTTTCACTCAAGATTACAACATACCATGTTTTTCTGACAGATATCTGCCAGCATGATGTTTTCCTAGTTTATGGATAAACACACAGAGTTAAATCTGTGCTTGGAGACCACATAGGTCAAAGAAAACCTTGGCTTTGGTATGCTTGGAGCACCTTGGCTCTGATCATCATGAACTGTCAGAAATTCTTACTGCCTTGGTCTCAGTCTCCTTGTTTGAAGAGTGTGTTCCCTTTACTTCAAGTGCTAGAGTAATACTTTTATTTATTGACCAAGACAGAAAAGAGACGGATCGATAATATGTCTGAGGCAGATGTATTTCTTTTTTACTTCTATCAGATCTCTTTAATGGATAGCTTGTCTACTTCAAAAATAGGATGTAATGGGCTTTTTTCCCCCCATTGCACTATCTCCTATTCTGTAAGTTCTGAAATATGAAGTTTGCTACGGTAAAGTAGCTTGTCAGAACCACTTAATGTTTTGTTTTTTCTTTTCCCCTGTTGGACAATCACCTTTGTCTAAAGGTGTATTTTTAATATATTAGTTAAAACCTCTGCAGATCAGAGAATTCTCAAATCACCTGTAAATACTGAGAAATTGATTTAAATGTGTACCTGGCTATTGTAAATATGTTACAAAGCTGTAGCTTCTGTAGCATTCAGATGAAACACCTCAATATCTAAGTGCATGTGGCTGCTCAATAGGCTTGGATGATGTAAATTTATGGTAAAGGTATAAAATCAGTATCTTTAAAACAGTTTTTGGGGTCAAGCAGAAAATGTTTCAAATGGTTTTGTCCGTTTGGGTTACCCCACTGGGTGTATCTATTCTCACCATGTTGAGTCTCTTGATTGCAAATGTTTTGGGTAACTTTGCTCAGCAGCAGTTTGTGTCTCCTACTTCCCAGTGCAGGATTGTATTATATAATTTTGCATGGAATTCATATTTCTTCTTTTTCCTTAAGCTTTGTGCATGTGGTGTGGGAGATGGTACTTAACAGAAGCTTTTTCCCCACACTTGGGAGTGAACGTCATCTTCCAAGTCCTTGTTTGATTTTACATTTTTCAGTGTCTTTCTCAACTCTTAATAGTGGGAAAAATCCAAGAACTGATAGGGTCCTTTTTTTGAAGTTGGTTTAACTTTTAACCTGTTCTGTGTTTCTGCTTGTAGAGAATTCAGGGCTTCATATTTATTCATACACAAGTCGTTTTGCCTGCTTTAGAGGGTAATTCAAACTTCATATTTTGACAGTTGTCATGTACTACATAAGGTAAAGCTATTCTTTAGCCCCCTGCATTATTTATAGCTTTAGTTGACAAATTCAAAATACAAGACGCACACGACACACGTTTTCAAGGTTGCATTAGAATTTTCTATGAATGGGATAAAGGAGTGCAGTCATCTCCCTCAGTGAGGCCTTGTTTATACTGACGTTTAAGCAGCTGTCTCAGCACTAAGTGGCATGCAAATCTGTGCTTCAAGCTTTCAGAGGTGCTCTTTAAATGCTCTGTGTATTTTACAAGGCATCATTTAGTAATGTTTGAGGAGCTGATTGGATCATCAGGATAACCGGAGAGACAGAAGGGTGTTTCTGTGGCTTAGTCATCTTGTGTTGGCATTGACCCAGTTTCATTTCAGACAGTGATGCAACTGTGCCTTGCTTTCAGTTTCTTTTCAAGCAACTAATGGCCAGGGCTTCCTGTGTGGAATTAAAGCACATGAGCCTTTCAGAAGCGCATTACTGGCACTGTGTGCTTTGGTTTGATGTAGGTAATGACAGCACTGAGCTGTGTGTGACACTTTGTGACTGCTTTTGCAGAGCCAGTTGTAGCTTTCAGTATATGTTAGAAAGGGATCAGAGAGCCACAAGCTCATCCAGGCCAGTATGACTCCTGTTACAAAGATGTGTAGGTAATTTCTCAACTGTTTTGTGATAAGTGATGTTAAAGTCATCTGAGAGGATGAATCTGTATCAGCTTTGAAGCACTTCAGGCAAGAAAAACCCATGCAATTAGTGGTCAGTTTCATAGTTTCTTGGCAGTAGCATAGTTGTGGCTATTAATAGATTGGGATGGGACATTAAGCAGAGATGCTGGATTTGAGAAGGTTTTTCAAGGAACGCTGTCTTGAAAGTGTTAATGTGATTAGCTGTCTGCTCTGATAAAGGATTAGTGTTTTGTCACTGGTAGGGTAGGTTATCTATCACCAACTTCCTTTGGAAAAGTCACAGATTTTCTTGTTAGTTTTGCTGACATGTTTTTAAAATGGTTCTTGGAAAGACCATCTGTGCTACTAACTAGACAATATTCTTGAAAACTAAAAGTACCAGTAAAACTCATTTCTGTCACATCCATATTTTAAAACGAAGATGTTTTCCATCTACTTCAACATAGCAATATGCATCTGATAGCTTACAGGTGCCACATATGACAAAAAAATTCTTCCTTGGAACAGTTCAGTGTGTAAGGTAGAAAACTTCTTCCAGTAAGCTCTTTGGCTGTTGATAAAACGTTTAGAGAATGACGTCTATGTCTTGTTCAGTGTGTATGTTTCAGTTTGGTCATCTGTTATTGACATCTCATACTCCACCAGGTTACTGACTAAGGAATGGCAGGAGACTTAAGGGGTGTTTGAAAAGTGTCTGTGTTACTGGTTGTGTTACTGTGTACAGGCTGAGGGAGATTGGTTTTCTGTCTGAAGTTACAATATAGCAGTTGATGTCTTGTGTTCAAGAGTTAAGTTCATGAGACTGTAGGAGAATTTTGACCAAATTATGTACGTGTGACCAAATTTCTCAAATGATCTTAAAGACTTTCTCAATTCAAACCCAGCGGAGGCTAAGTAGAATACATGGAGAACTTAAATAGTGGTGTTACTATGTACTGAATCCCAAAAAATAACAGTGCAGGTTTTGGGAGACACAGAGAATTGGGTATATTTATATTTGTGCATAAATTGTGATAAATACATCACCTTAAGCTCTATAAAATAAACAGGCATGTTCGTATTAAATTAAACTTCCTACATTAATTTTTCAACACTTTTCATACCAACTGTAGCTATGCTAAATTATAAAACAGATGTAATTTATACCCTGATCTTAAAGATTATTTCTTTGGCTGTGAACCTGCTGTCATGAAACATGGTAGAGATTATTTGCACTAATTTCTTCTTTTTTTACAGGTGGTCTCCCAGATAAGAAGTTTGAGGTAGATAAACGAGCCATGAATCTCGGGGATTTTAATGACATGATGAGAAAGGATCGATCTGGGTTCCGTCCACCTAATTCCAAAGACATGGGAACCACAGATAGTGGGCCTTATTTTGAGAAGGTGAGAGAAATATCTTCAGATAAATTACAATCAACCTCTCTGTCTCAGTTCTTACCCTACTTCTCCAGAGGTGCTAAAAAGTCAGTAACCCTAAATGAGCTCAGTAGTAAATGGTGTGGGGTAGTTTTATTGATAGAATGAATGTGTATAAAACAAGTGTCAGGTGTTCATAGACAAATTAAATTGGTGAGAGTGAGGCTTTTTGTTCTAGAATAGACTGGTTTTGATGTAGACAGAAATTCCTTTCTTTTTTCTTGGAAGGGTAAACAGGTAGCGATGAAATTCATTATTGATTTCATCAGGATTTTTCTTGTGGCTACTAATCACAATCATCTACTGTAAAAAAAATTGGCTGAGGTTTAAGTAAATATAAGTAATCACAGTCTTCAAAATTTTTTCCTTCTTTCATGTCTGGCATTTATTGGAAACACCCTTTTTAAATTCCACAACCCCTTATGCTGTATGTCCGTGTACTGTAAGCTTCTGTATGACATCTGTTTCTCTGTGGCATCTGTTGTATGTTATGGCAGTGTTTCTTTCATATTCTTGCCTATTTTAAACAGAAGCTTTCACTGTTATTATCAAATATTAATTGCTTCACATTATGAATTGGAGAGTGTCCAATAGATTCAGAATGCTCTAGGGCTGTTTTGGTTTTTTTTAGATACACGTATGACATGTAAAATGGAAAAAAAATTTGGTTTAAAAATTCTGAAGGCGTGTTAACTGTCTAGGAATTTTTTAACTCCTCCATTTTAGTATAACAAGCCAAAAAGCAGTTTTGTCAACTCCCTCTGGTGGCATAATTAATAAATACCACGAGCAAAGCTAATGCGTTTCCTAAAAAATTATGCTGGTAGGTGTGTACTAACATTAGGATTTCATTCAAGATTTGTTTGCTTCTGTAGTGGTAATAACCACTATCAGAAACTAATTTCATGAGAGTTCGAAATACGTTTTTTAAAAGAAAACTTAAGATTATGTCCTTGGACCAAAATCTTAATTGTCAAGTGATCGTTTGAATCAGAAGTTTTGTCCTTGTAACTGCTATTACAAATTAACTTTGCTTCTTCCTAGTCACTCACCGTCCCTCTTTCTCTCCTCTTGCATTCTGTTGCTTCACTAACCAACTCCTGCTGTTGGCTAACTGCTGCTTCAGCTGACTTTGCCTTTCTCCAATCAAGATGGGTGCCTTGGGGATGAGGCTCCCTGCTCTCCCTTCTCCCCTTCTCCCAGCTACAAGCTGTCTCCCTCTGGTTCCACACTATCCAACGTCGGCCTTGGGGCAATCGGCTCAGGGCTCAGTCCCCAAAACTTCGCTGCTAGACAAGTAAGCAGGCCACCTTATAAGAATCATTGTTATAAGGCTGCAACCTGGGCTTAATCCTGATTAATTGGTTGCTTGCATTTGTTTTTCTGCTGAATAGATTAAAATTGTTAATGGAAATTTCAGCTGTCTCAAGCCATTGAGAATCAGTCCACTTTGGTTTCTAGCATCAGAACATACTCTGTCTGGTTTTGTTGGCCTCTTCCTAAATCACAGTGCAACAGCAGGTAGATGTACATTTCAGAAGTCATGAAGTTAGTTGTAGTTTCCTTAATTTTAATTGCTGGCTTAAAACCCAGTTAGAGGCTGTTGATTTGCCTAATCAAACCCAGCACTGAATATTTTCAGACTCTACTCACAGACCTTGTATGTAGAAATGTGCCTGTAAAAAGTTCCAGTGATTTAGCATTGTGCCTGTTCCCTTCTCCCTTCCTCACAGTTCAAAGTAAGGATTCAGCAGCCTTTAAAAATTCTTGAAGTAGCAGTATTTTTGTGTACAGGGAAATGGTGGGGAAAGAGTTAAGTGATTAATTGCAGTTCGGAAGAATTCCTGGCGATTGTTTCTAGAAGAAAATATTTTAGGAATACTAGGAAATGAAAGAATAGTACGCAATTATTGCAGCTGGTCTAGCTTATGTAGTCATATGCCTAACATGATGGTGTTTCTTTGTGTTGTCTTTCTGTTTCTATGTGACACAGTGTTGAACATCAGATTAAGTCCAAAATTTGCAGGCATGTTATTGATCTCAGTGTGCAGAACTCTGTAGAGTTATAGAGAGAGCTGAAAGTGTAACTGCAGCTTCAAGGCCTCTCAGAAATTTTAATGTGTAGTTTACTCCAGCCAGCTCTTTCCAGAATAAAACCTCTTGTTTTTCAGGGCTTTTTGTTTGTCTTCCTGCATGCTTAGGAGTTGCTTCTGAAGGAGAAGATACTTTAAGTGGAGGGGATGCAGGTGAATGATGCAATCCATAGTGCTGCCAGTGTAGAAGCAGAGGAGAGACTTGTGTTTGAGCAAAACTATAGCAGAGGATGCACAGTATTAATGGCAGGAGTATTATGCACCATGTTATGATAGGGTTTATGAAATCCTGTTATATAAGGGAAGGAAAGGTTTTAGTGAAGGCCTGCACAGTCTCAGTTTGGAAGAGTGATGGACTTACGTTGAGTGCAGCAATGATTAGCAGAATGGGGAATGATGGCTGAGGAGTGGAAGATACACTCATTATAAGCCCAGATATCTGAGGGTCACAGACGTCCTGATAGACAGCAGGAGACGGGAAATTCTGAGGGTCTTGAAACTAAAAAGACAAATTCATGGCACATAAGGATCCTTTGGAGTATGAGCTTCAGCTTTTAGAGGCAAAAGAGTGTAGCTGTCTTAGTGTAGGAGACTGTTGATAACATTTCTTGTCACTTTTTTTTGAAAAATGGTACCTAAAAAAGTCTGCTTAAGAGGCTGAAATTGTGAAACATAATCACAAATTTTCTTTGGTCTTTTTTATGCATTAGGGTTCATTGCAGAAGTTGCTCATAAATCAGTAAATACTTCTCATTAAAAAACTCAAACAGCAAGTATTCTTGTATTACCACCACAGAAAATAAATTACTAAAAGAAAAAAAAAAAACAATTCTTTTTCTCACTTGAAAATTTTCTTCAAATTTAGTGCAAGAAAAGGGGAAGGAAAATATCCAGATCCAGAATGTTGAAGTTTTCATGGCAGAAGGAAAATTTTTAATACTATTTTAGAATTTAAATTTCAGTTAATGAAAGGCCTGCAGAGGAAATAATAGCCTTGTGAGTGATATCTCAGCAGCAGTACCTGTATTCTCTAAAATGGGGGACCAGAATTCTTGCTGACACAGTCTTGCCATACTTTTAAGCCAATGGAATGGAGTTTCTAGTTTGTTGTTTGTACTCCCAAGTTTCCATTTCCCAATACATAAAGTGCAAAATATTAAAACATTAGATTTCTCGTGTTTTGAAGTAAGTAGATAAGCATGACCCTTCAGTGTTAGAGGAGAAACAACCTGCATCTCAAAAATGTAGTACAGTGGTTTTAACCCAGGTAGAATATTACTGATTTTAGCCAAAAGTCTGTAATTCTAAGGGAACTCGGTTTAAGTCAGTAACTTGGCTCATTGTTACTGATACATAGTTACTAGCATAGAAATCCATTATCCTGCAAGATTCATCTTCTCACTACTGCTTTAATTTTATAGGGTGGCAATCATGGTTTGTTTGGAAACAGCACAGCACAATCGAGGGGCATGCACACACCAGTGCAGCCACTAAATCCTTCCCCCAATATCCGGGCGCAAGTGCCTCCCCAATTCCTTTCTCCCCAGGTAAGGAATTTATAGCAACTGATTACTTGTAAAAGTAGAGCTACAGCCTTGAGAGCACATCATTGAGGTTACTTATACACCTATCTTAGTCTCAACTTCATGTTAAGAAATGGAAAAATTAAATAAGATAAAACCATTAAAATTGATCGTGAAAGTACTTAAAACTCAGTGCAGAAGCATTAGCATTCTATCTTATTCCAAGGCAGTTGATGGTAAATGCTCGCTACCAGTATTTTTAAACCTCAAAAGTGGATTTGGGAATCCTATGTCTTATATAGGCTTTTGTAAAGTATTTTAAAAAGAACAAATAAACGTGAAAGCTTAAAGTGTTTCTGAAGTGTGACAGGTTGCTTAATTTTTTTAAGTAGTCTTGTCCTGTGCTTCCTGTCCCCCCAAAAGAGAGGTTTGATGAAGTGGCTACATGTTACATTTACATTGCAGAGCTTAATCTTTACACCTCAGGGTCTCCAAATGTACACAACTTTACCTTTTGCTTTGGACTTGGTGAACAATTCTTGAGATTCTCTTGAATTGTACTTGTGTAACTCCCCAGTAATGCAGGGAGAAATGGGGGGATTCTTCTCCACCTACTCCTGTCTTTTACTTTATCTTATTCAATGTACAAAGAGATTAACTCTTTCTGTGAGGCACTTTTTCTTTGCTCCAGTGACTGCCTGAATGCCTTTCTTTTCCCTTGTCAGACAGTACATTTTTAATGTGATAATGCAGTACTGTGATTACTAGTTAGCTGCATATATATCAGCATTTAAATTTAGTGCAGTCTCTAGCACCTGATTGGTTGGGGGAGGAACCTTTGTGTGTGTGTCTGCATCTGCACATGAAATACTGTATACTGTCAATCAAGTGAGGTACTCGCTCTGCCCAAGTTATAGATTGTGCATGTTTAAATGTGATGTGTTAATAAATCTGTAATGTCTTTCCCAGAACACCATTGAGGATTGGTGTCATACTTGTCCCTTTATAGAAATACTTGTACCTCATCATCTTTACCTCGTAGCAGTGCATTCAGGATATGTAACTGATTTCCATGCAGGTTTCGGCCTCCATGCTCAAACAGTTTCCCAACAGTGGCTTGAATCCTGGTCTTTTCAATATGGGCCCCCAGCTTTCTCCACAACAGATTGCCATGCTGAGCCAACTTCCACAGATTCCCCAGTTTCAATTAGTAAGTAGCTAGTAATATTGTGAGACAAGACTGTTTGCAAGTTGTCTGCTGAGTTTTCTTTTTATGCTTATTCTAATTCTGTTTTGTTCTGCTGATGTTATTTTGTACAAGTATTCCCTCTTTGCTATATGGGGTAGTAAAGTCCTGCTTGAAGGCAGCAGATAAATCGAATAGGCCCATGTAATTGTGGATTACAGTAGGCTAGTAATGACTCAGAGCCATGTTTTTGTACAGAAAGCAGTTGTTTGTTGATTTTTAATGAAGCTTTCTTCAGACTTGTAGTCATAGTGATGGTAATAAATCAGGTACAAGTAATTCTGCAATGTTAAATTAGAAACATTTAAGTGAAGGATGTCATATTCTTCTAATGCATTCATTGTCATTTTATTTGAGTGAGTGGAATGAGAAACAGTTTACCTAAGTTCTGAGCAAAGTGTTTCATTGTGACTAGCTCCTGGCAATTATATTTTGCTTGATGAGCTCTGTATTTTCACTCTTCCCACTTACCTTGTAGGCTTGTCAGCTCCTCCTTCAGCAGCAGCAGCAGCAACAGCTGTTACAGAGCCAGAGAAAGTTATCTCAAGCTGTGCGACAACAGCAGGAGCAACAGGTGTGTGGCCCTATTTTTGTCAATCATATGAAGTGTGCTGGGGAAATGCAGTCTGCAGTAGAGATGGTGCTGGCTTCAGTAAAGTCAACTGCTCTCTTCACATTGCACTTTATGGAGAGCAAGGTCTTTAGGATCTCTTCTAATTTACTGTTTCTTTATGTTTACGGGAATCTGCGTTACAGTATAGCATAGATGAAGTGCTTTTTCTTTCACTGCAGATTGCTCGTATGGTGAGTGCCCTCCAGCAGCAGCAGCAGAGGCAGCCTGGCATGAAGCATTCGCCATCCCACCCTGTTGGGCCTAAGCCACATTTAGACAGCATGGTACCCAATCCTTTGAATGTGGGTCTCTCAGATTTACAGACCAAAGGGCAGATACCTGGATACGGTTCAGGTGGTAAGTGCTCTGTGGAAGGAGGTTTCGTGCATTGCCTGTAGCTTCCCTATTATTAATATGGTAGTTGTGTTAGTCACTTATGTCTGGGTCCAGAAATAAGTCATTTGTGTATAAGCATTAGAGTGAAGGTTATGGCAAGTGTCAACTTTGAATGAAATTGCATTATTTTTTATTATGTGGGAAGAAGACAAGCCTAAGAAGAATGCGTATCATGGCATACTGACCTAACACATTTATTTGGAAGATGCCCCTTGAACATCCCCTTTGCTGTTGTTGAGTCTTTTTTTCCCCCCACCTTTTTCTTATTATTACAATGTCTCCCTGTTTAAAGATGCTTAAAAACAAAACAGAAGATGACAATGGAGTTTTGTTTGCTTGTTTCACAGGCTTTGGCTCAAGTGGCATGGATTATGGCATGGTGGGAGGGAAAGAGGCTGGAACAGAATCCCGCTTTAAGCAGTGGACTATGATGGAAGGGCTGCCCTCTGTGGCTTCTCAAGATGCCAATATGCACAAAAATGGTGAGAAGGGGAATTTTGGGAATGCCCTTGTAGGATCATCTCACCAGAGGTGAAATAGTTTAGATGAAACTGTCTTGCCTCACCAGTAATGCATCTTAAATATTTTTGTGCTAATACATTGTACTGTTGAAAATCCCAACCTATCCCAAGTGTAAATGTATGTTTTTAATGGTGCAGGTGCAATAGTGCCCCCTGGAAAGGCTCGCGGAGGATCGCCCTACAACCAGTTTGACATAATCCAGGGCGACCCACTCAGCAGCCATGCAGGCCCTGCTGGTGATAGTTGGTTACCTGCCAAATCTCCACCAACAAACAAGATCGGAAGTAAATCCAGCAATGCCAGCTGGCCTCCAGGTATTACATAAGGGCACGGGTTGTGTCCTTGCTTTAGGATAGATGAGCTGGACCTTTCCTCATCATACTTAGTTAAATAACAATTGGAAAGAAAATACTTCTGTGGCTTGGCCTGTGTTGGTTTTGAAATTTCTTCCACATTAAAGTAGAACGTAAATGTTGAATTTCCAGTAAAAAATTCTGGGCTAAATATGAACTAACTGCTGCATTGCCTGAGTAATGTTTGGTTTTTGTTAGGTGAACTCATATCTTCTGTGGTTTTGTGACTTTACATTTACAAAAACTTTCATGAAAACCTATATTCATAGAATATACAACACCATCTCCCTTCTTTTGTACTGATTCCGTATTTGTGCTGTATTAGGCTGACACTAGTGTAGAAAGTATTGATAATGTGGAATCAGAAAAAGATGTGAAGTAGGGTTTTTTTGTTGTGGTGGGAACAACACACTGTTGCGATTCACCTTTGCTCACGTTGCATAAATGGTAGAAGAGTGTTCCAGTGCTTCAGCTATGCTCAGGAATCTTGTGGCTTGGGTAGAAGTCTCTTGCTTTTGGCATGACAGGCTGGTGCACATTTTTTAAGTTTTCTAGTTTCACTGGCAGAATTTTATGTTTCTGCTAGAAAACTCTCTAGGAAAATTACATATGTATTTGAATACACATAATTTTCTATATAAAACATTCATTTAAACAGAGTGGTGTCCTCAAAGTTGCACGGATTAACCACTGATTCTGTGCAGCAAATAGTTGGTGCTGTGATTTTTCTCTTCTCTGAAAAACTCTGCATTCCAGGAAAACATTACTATCTGCAAACCCTCTGCTGTGTATCTGCACAAGCACAAAAAAGTAAAAGTTCAGGTATATCTCTTGGGTAAAGCAGTAGCACAGACCTTGCATCAGAAAGCCTAGGAATCTATGTGACAGATAAATCTGCAGAAAACCTAGAAAATGTAGTTGAAGATTTTTATGAGGGAAGCCCTCAGGGTCTAACTCCAGCAAGAATCCATCTTCTGATGAGCTAACAGAGCTAAAGAATGTTATCTCAAAAACATTGCACATCCACAAATTTTTATACTGCTCACTGCATTCTGTACAGGTGTATTTGTGTTACACTTCTGTCAGCATGGTTGTTAAGTATGGAGCTTTTTGGATTGGAGTTGCCAGTTCATAATGCCAGAAACTCCCAAAATGTAATCTTTTACCAGACCTCACTCACAGAGTGATTGTTGCTGAACTTGTTTCCTCAGTCACCATTCCCCTGTATTGTATTGAGAAGCACAGTACTGCTCAGAATGCTACAAGAGACACATGAGGGTCAGCTCTGTCATGTTTCCAAGTTCTGGTGCAGCCACTGGCTTTGGCAAGGTTCTTGGTGCCAAAAGAGCAAGTAACTTCTTGTTATGAAAGTGAGAAGTTGGATAGCTACTCTTTGCCCCTTGTTGATTTCATGGAGCTTCCCTAGTGATATCTGTAGTCCCACTGTCAGTGATAAGTAAAATTTTTTGTCGCTGACTGCCTCACCACTGTGAGAGGATAAGTGAAGTTCACAAATTCTGAGCATGAAATTTCACTGACATCCGCATTTCTTGTGTGAGTAGCCCAAGACTATGATTGCAGCCTTTACATAAAAAATGTGGGTTTTGGTAGGTGGTATTTTTTCAGTTTTTGCTGTATTGCTGTTCCACTCATGTGAGATCCATAGGCTGCTGGGACGAGTTACTGTTCCATAACCATCATCTACTTGGGCTGTCTCATAGTCTGACTTAGACTTTATTCTCATGGAAAACCAAAATCAAGATCTACCTTATCAGCACAACACCCCGATGAAGAATGAAGACCTAAAATGACTTTACACTCTAGGTCCTTCTGTACAAGCTTGTACGTGAGGTCCACTATCAGTTCCTTGCATGGAGATAGAATTCTTCCTCCCAGTGCTGGAAAAAAAAATGTTAACAAAAAGGAGTTTACAAGAGAAAACCTCTTGAAATAGGTGCATTTTCCCTTTGAATGAAAACAGTGGTCACTCAGCATTCACCCTGACTACACCTTTCGCATTTTCCTCCTAAATGCCATCTGCTGCAGAAGTTCTGCCGTTCAGGAGAGCAGTATTGTTCAGCACAAAGATAAATGAAGTGATGCCCAATCAAACTGATATCATAGCTGGAAGTGAGAGCAAGTTTTGCTGCATTGGTGAGAATTATGTCATTTGGTTATGTTGCACAGACTTGCATACTCAGGTAATACTTAGACTGTAGTTTTCCCATTCAAGATGAGTCATACTTCAAGCAAACTGGCCCTGGATGTGTCTGTCATGGTTTTCACAATAATTTTAGGTCCTCTCAAAACTTTCAAACCTTTCAAATATCAGTGGACAAATGCATTTCATGTCTTCTTTACTGCCTAGAAATAAACAGCATGTCCATAGACAAGAGTTGGTGAATGTGCATGATAATAGCTATCAGCCCCAAAGAAGAGTTTGGAAATTTGTCAGTGTGCTGAGGTTCAAGGAAATGCTTTTCCAGACTAGGGTTACACTGATGAGTGAATGTGTTCATAAACAGTAAAACCCCTGATCCTTGGAGCCTTGTTTGTGTATTCATTAACCTTTTGATGAGAGCTTTCTGTGCACTTAATTTTCATTCTCACCAATTCTCAGAATCTTTGCAGATAGAAGACTTCCTATTCTTTTTTTGTTCCCAAACGAGTTGTAATTTCCAGGTTCTAACCTGTCTTCATGGACTCTTTGTCTTAGAACAGAGAAGATATTTTGAGTAGACCCAAGAGCTATATTGCTTCTTCCTTAACAAAAGGGAAGTCCTGCTTGTCAGGGTCTGGCAGTATTTTGTTAGTAGCTGAGCAGAGTCCTTCCGTGATGCAGTGCTGATTGCTCAGTGTTAAAGTGTTGATATGTGGATTATTTTGTTGAGTTACTAAAGACTGGGAGATGTTACTGATGTTTATAAAATTAGGAAGGCAGTGATGCAGAATTGTAATTCCATGACTCCTGCAATGCTAGAATCATGGTGCAAATGCTGGAATTAAGATGATATAAATTTTAAATAGATGGGGAGCTGTTTTTCCGTCAGGAGTGGTGAACTTTTGGGTTGTGTTGCTTTCACAGCTTCTTGAGACAGATGGTACTAGCCAGTTGAAGCAGTGATTGGATAAAGTGATGGAAAAACAGTTTCACAAGCTGGTGCTAGCAGGTAGTAGGTATTTCTGCCATATAAGTTAGGATAGCTGTGCATACTGGGAGAGTGTGAGGCCAATAGTCCCCAGATAGTGGCCAGGTTTGTGTTCTGTCCCTTAACGGTATTTCTCCTGCTGCTGCTGGCAAAATACTGGACTAGATGAACCACAGTTCTGACCCAGTGGGGCATATCTTTTATCTTCTCTGAGATTCTCCTGTGCATTATCACAATCTAATACTGCCCTTGCTGTGGCAGTAGTTTGAACCAGTAGTGTCATATTTTCTTCTGTATTTGTCTGTGAAAATCATAGTCTTGACTATACTGCTTCATTACAGAGGTTACTGAAATGAACCCTTCCATGCCAGATTCATCCTACATCGCTTCATTCTAGAGCGTGCATCTTGGATCCTGTTTTTAATAATGGATCTTTAATTACACTCAAATATTCTATTACTCATTATTTCCGAAATTCAGGCTGGGAATTCTGTATCCTGGACTTGTATCTGCAAGGGATGAATCTGCTACCTTTGCACTCTTCTCACACTTATACAAATTGTTACATTGTATATTAAGCTTCTTTACTTGTTTTTGTGTTTGTCAGTTTTACTTTTGCACCACTGCTTCCAGAACTGACCACAGTTTATTCATTGAAGGAACCAAGTTACTGATCTTTCTTACAGTAACTGGAGTCTTTGTGTGTTCATATTTAATATAATTCATCCTCTTGTCTTAAAATTCTGGCATGCCTGGAGCTAAAGCATGATAAGTATATCTCATCTCACTGTGAAGCATGAAGAATGTCATTGAGTATATATATTACTTTTACCACAAGGCATCTCATCCTCAGTATTGATAGGTAATGTATAAAGTGTGTGTGTACCTACAGTGTGATGTGTCAGATGTATTTCCAGACTCCTAAGGTTGGTAGCCTTTCCTTGAGAAAGGCTTCTGCACACACATGAAGTATGTCTACAGAGTCTAATCTTATGTATCTTATATGGAATTAATTAAAACTATTGAAATCTCATCTGAATGCAGCAAAGCAGAAGCACTTAAAGGGATACTAGCTGCCCTTGTACCACTTTTTTTGTAGTGTAGACTTATATTCATATGACACCAGAGCTAGTGCTGTTGGAGGAAGTGTGAAATAGATTACAGTTCTAACATGTAGTCTTTTTTTTTTGCCCCTGAGAAACAGTGTAGAAGACAATTGTTTGCCCTCCTGAAATACTTCAGCAATTCATTCTAGTAAATAACATTTTCCTGATCACATCTAATTCCTTTTTCTCTCCTGTCCCAGAGTTCCAACCAGGAGTGCCATGGAAAGGTATACAAAACATTGACCCTGAATCTGACCCCTATGTGACCCCTGGAAGTGTGCTGGGGGGGACAGCCACATCTCCCATTGTAGATACTGACCACCAACTTCTGCGGGACAACACCACAGGTAAAACATCTGCTCTGTGATTATCAAAGTTGCTCTGATACTCAGGATTGTTGTGATGTTGCGGCAGTAGCAGGCAAACAGTCTGTTGCATTTGCCTGAGAAGGAATGGCTGCATGCCTTTGGACTGTGGCTGGGAGCACCTGAAAGCTTGGTATTGTTACAGTCATGGCTCTTGAGGTTTAATGGTGTTACAGAAACTCTGTGAACTTGGTCTCCTCTTTCTCTCTCCTTTTCTTTTTGATAGGGTCTAATTCTTCCCTCAACACCTCGCTGCCTTCACCTGGTGCCTGGCCCTACAGTGCCTCTGACAATTCCTTCACCAACGTTCATAGCACTTCAGGTATGTGGGCCTTGAAACTTATACAGACGACATTTCTCATTTAGCACTAGTTCTTTGTTGTTCCACTTGGAGTATTTAGTCCATCATGTGTAGCAGTGACTTGGGAAGACAAACACCATAACTCTGAACATACCCCCCTCCTCCCTCTTCCTTCCACCCTTTATATGCTGAGAGTGACTCCATATGGTGTGGAATATCCCTTTGCACAGTTGGGGTCAGCTGTCCCTGACTGTTGGCTCCCAGCTTCTTGTGCACCCTCAGCCCTCCTGCTGGTGGGAAGATGCGAGAAACAGAAAAGGTCTTGATGCTGTGTGAGCACTGCTCGGCAATATAATTAAATCATCATCACCTATGCTGTTCCCAGCACAAATCCAAAACATAGCCCCATACCAGATACTATGAAGAAAATTTACCCCAGTGTCATGATCCACTAATACAAGGAGTTGTGAGAGGTTCGTATGATCTTAGAGTGCAAAAAGGACATAAAGGGATTTCAGTTTAAATCACAACAGCAATAATGCACCTTCATTTTAGTGCCAACAACATGGGTTATGCTATAGATGAGAGGGACAGAGAGAAGGATAAAGAGGCAAAGTGAAAAGAGAGGAAAAAGGCGGGAGTTATAGCTACCAACAACAGATGAGGTGGGGTTGCCGGTGTCTTCTTCTGTGGGTGTCTTCTTTTCTTAGAAAGTCACTTTATAGTCTGTTTCAAAGTGAGGGGGCAGTTGGCCAAGAGGTGGGGAAATTCCTAGGCTATTGTGATGAGACCCATTGCTTTGGGAAGCAGGTGTAAGGTACAGAACAGGCTGCTCTTCACAAGTCCCTGCTTAGCAGCAGGAAAAAAGGCAGTGTACCATGGCAGCAGAGCAAGCACACCTGTAAACAATCACTCGGCATGCATCCACCTCAACTAAGCCAGAACCCCTGTACCAAGTCCCTTGGGGTCCTCAGGGTCTTAGTCCCTGTTCTTGTGATGGTTGTGGGGCAAATGAGGGAAACTTCAGACCATCTCTTACACCCAGCCAAAACCAACATACTATGCAAGTTAAAGAATAAAGTAGTAGGAAGCAGCAGACAGAAAAGGAAAGATAAAACAGGACATGTACAATCTGTTGATATGTCTTAATTCTTAAAATATTCTTGGCTTGTGTATGTATTAGTAAAGGTGAGTGATTTTGTTTACTTTAACTTTAGGACATGGGAGTGCTGTGAAAGGAATGTTTTTGCCTTGCCTTTTATAGCACTCATCATTCCCTGAAATCTGGACAGTGAGGACATTTGGTCCTCTGGCTTTTAATGGCTGGCCTGTAAATATAAACTTCAGTATACATCTCAGATCCTTCATAAGAAGGTAACCACAGCTTTCTGGTAAAAACCTGTTTCTGCACACACTTTGCAGTAAAACACTGGAAATACTTGCTCCAAATGAACCATTTGGATTTTAAGTTTCTTGCAAATGTCAGAGATTTTTCTTGAAGACATCATTGTCTTGACAATTACTTAAAAATTAATTGTGTGTAAATAGCAGAGGTGATGAACAGAGCTGAGAGCTACATCTGGCCCGAACTTTAGGTTTTTTCATCATACTGAATAAAAGCTGTGTTCAGGCATTACCTCAGCATCTTCACCAAATGTATTGAAAATGCTCTTTAGTCCTTAAGAAAAAGTGAGTTCCTGCTGCCAGTTTGTGAGCTGACTTTGGTTTGAAGTGTATGCAGCATTCTAGTGACATAGAAGGTTCCTCTGCTACAGCCTGAGGATCAGAGTGGCATGTAGCAACTTCTTGCTTTTGCTTAATTTTTGTCTACCCCATAAGAAAGACTGAAGCAATAAAAAAATATTGAAGTTGTAGTCAAATTGAGGAAATTAGACCACTGCCACATACCAGTTTCTGTTTGCCTGCTAGGCATGAGTGTTTTACAGTCAGAAAGCCATCTGAATTGCAAATGTAGAATTCACCTATCTGTGAAGCAGTCTAGTGAAAGCAGGTTTTTAAGCACTTTCACCCACTTTCAAAGGCTAGTGCGTGAGACCTGATTGCTGACCGTTTCTGTGTCATGGAAGTACAGAGATCCAGCTGTAAATTGAAGCATGCTTATACATGCTGAAAGCTTTTGGGCCTTGGTTTCCAGATGTGTTACTTTATGGTGCCCTGGCATATCATATATATGTGGTTTTTCACTTTGTTTCAAATTACATGGTCTGCTGGTGACTAAAGTTAAATGCACATATTTGCACAGATGTACATGAGAGTTATGATTAAGATGTCTGACACAGCCTTTTCCCCCAGATTGCCATGTCTGTGTTTGCTGGTTCTCAGTGCAGAACAAGGAGGAATTTTGACTTTTGAAATCTCTCTTGGTGTCAGAAGTTGTGGGAGAATTTGCAGTCTGCCTTTTTTTAAAAACTGGTTTAGGCAGAGCTCACAAATATTCATGATGAACAGTGGTGGTTTGGGGATTGCTTTTTTTTCTGTTTTATTGCATTTCTTTATAAAGAGTTCTTGAAATATGTTAAGGATATCCACTGTAGGTCTTCTAATAGGCGCCTCCCTATTAGTAATACTTTCTAGTAAAAAAATGCACTATCAAGATCGTTTTTAATCCAGCTGTCTGTCACATAGCTAAGCAGCTCTTTTTATGTGGTACTGCTTTGTCAATGTTGTGTGAGGTTTGTGATTCACAAGAAAGCTTTGATTTTGTAGGGAGGACAAGGCAACATTAGCTTAGTAGACCAAGAATGGTAAATACTCCTTTCAGTTCTCTGCAGGCTTTTTTTACTTGAAGAAGGTTCAGTTTCATTAAAGGTCAGTAGTGCCCAAACCTTTAAGAAGTTCTCGGGTTCTCAGATGAAATAAAAATTACTGTTGATCTCATTAATGATGTAACATACTGCAATCTGCTACACAATCATAAATGGTATATTACTTTTTTTTTTGGTCAGCATATATAAAATAAGCAAAGATTAACTTCCATGTAGTATGGGGTTTTTTTGGTATGATAAATTAACTATTATATGGTTCTGTGTTTCATCCTTGTCTCCAATATAAATGCAGTCAAAAGGCTTACTGTGATAGGGCAGATACTTAATCTTACAAGTTTCTCTAATACACAGAATTTCTTTAATCTTCTAGCAAAATTCAGTGATTACAAATCAACATGGTCCCCAGATCCCATAGGACACAATCCCACTCATCTCTCCAACAAGATGTGGAAAAACCATATTTCCTCAAGGAACACTACAGGGCTGCCCCGCCCACCTCCTGGCCTGACCAACCCCAAACCATCATCTCCATGGAACAGCACAGCACCCCGATCGGTCAGGGGCTGGGGGGCACAGGACTCAAGGCTTGGCTCTGGTGAGAACAACCAACTGGTAGCACTGATCAGACCTGAGCAGCGTATGTTTTACAGCACAGTGGTTTGGAGGAAAGAAAGTTGCAGTGGTGTGGTAATAGGAAAAAAGAGTTCCTTCTTGAAATGGAAATTTGCTGTCAGTAATTGGGGTGGGTGGGGGTGGAATCCCAAGTCTTGCTGCAGGGAATGAGTGAAGAAGAGCTGAGAGCTGCCAGAAGAGAGTACCTGCTACACAGGGCTTTTCAAGATTAGATGCTTGCTGTGTGTGGGAAACTCCTCAAAGATAAACTCCAGTGAAATGGATCTTGATGTGAACTATGAGGAAAGGTATGGTTTTGTTTTCAGGACTGAAGATTATACTTTTGTGTTTTACACGGGGGGGTAATGCTGATTTTTTCTGAGAGACCTAACTGTAAAGAAAGATGGTTTTTCTTTGTATCAAAACTGTTTTGATTTCTCTGTCTTATAATTTGCAGCATCTACTTGGAGTGATGGTGGCTCAGTTCGTCCTAGCTACTGGCTGGTTCTTCACAATCTCACTCCACAGGTATTTTCTGTGGTTGTTTCTGGGAACTTACTTGCTTTAGCAAGGATTTATGAATTCAAAAAGTTGTTTCTTTTTGAATAAAATCTGACAAAATCAGATTTGTCAGCACATGTAACATATTTCTAGTAAACTGAGCTTCAGTCTGACTGGTTTTTCTATTGTAATTTCTTCAGCTAATTTTAAGATGTTCAGGTTTTGCTATGTGACTGTTAAAACATTCCTTTACTTGAGAGTTACAAAAAATGATTGAACAGAAAGATTTTTTTCTTAGAAGTGAGGATAAATTTCATTATTATAATGTGGAATGGTTTATAGCTGTTCTTTGGGATGTTGTCAGTAAGAAATTTGATGTAACTGCCAGTTTTCACTTTAGTGTTTCCATAGTGAAACCACAGAATTTTTCCAGCACTCCTGCCAAAACTAGTCAAGTTAGGTTATTTCTGCAAGTATTCTCAAAGCTTGCTGCCATTCAAAATTAATTCCATGGAGAATCTGGTTTCAGCATTCCCAAGTAATCCTGTATTTAAGGGCTAGGAAAAGCCTATATGATTATCAGCAGCACCCTGAGGTCTAGACAGAGAGTCCCCTGTTCAGCAAGATAATTCACTGTGCTTCTGCAGTGTACAAAAAGAGGTTGATGGTGAAAGGTGAAAGGAAAAGCTGAGGTCTCCATCAGATTACCCAAAGGGTGAACCATGCTCCTTTTTTAAGAAAAGACTGTTTACCTTGATGTTGAGGAAGAAGTGGTGAGGAAAAAGCACAGTTTTAAGCCTGGCCTGTGTAAAATATTTTAATGTTGCTTTAGGAATTATTTAACAGAAGAAGAATGTATTTTGGAGGCATTTAAGTTAGTAGGAAAGAGAAACTGATCATAAGTGTCTCATTATGCATTCTCTCTCTATTGTGCATCAGTACACTAGAGAAGTGTAAAGGTTCAGATGGATTTGTAGACTCACAGAATGGTTAGGCTTGGATGGAACAATATGTTCATTTCAAGGTTCTCTGTTTTAACTTTGGCCATGTTTGTATCCCCACACAACTTCCTTTTCCCTCATTTGAAGCTGTATTATAAAATGGGGGGAAAGAAGGAAGAAAGTAGCACTTCCTTAAGTATTTGCACATACGGATCCCATTCATATGTCCATGTTCCTGTGGCACACAAGGAATGGAATCTGTCTGTACAGAGCATCTGGGAGAACAGCTGTTACTGGAGGTAAGTAACAAGCTGTTCTGCTGCAGAAGGAATGTAGGCAACAACTGCTGAGAAAACATTAGTTCAGACAGAATGGACATTGGTGGGTTTGGCAGCAGTGACTTTCTGTGACTGTTTCATAAACCACAAAAACAAAGAAGCACCAAAATAAATTTTGAAAAATTTCATTGTAGAGGTATTTCTTTGTAGAGGATTGTAGAAGGCAAAAACTTCTTAAATACTAGTTTATCTAAATTCTGCTGAAATCGGAGAGCTGGAGACTAAGACATTCCGGTTCCTGTGTTACAAATTCTGATGACTGGCGACAGTGAGAAGTACAAGTTGTATATAATAACTGGAAAAGCTGTCAATGTGATAGAGACCATGTCAAAAACTCAGTGAGAGAGGGAAAACTGGACTCAAGCTGTAAGTGAACAGGAAAGATAATTTAGATTATTCCATACTAAAGCAATCTCCATGTAAATGTGAAAAGTCAAGGCATACCAGTTCCTGTTTGAAAATCAGCTTGTCACCTTTGCTTACTTCCTACTTCTTTCATCTGTTATTCTTTCTGAGAGCAAAATATCTTTCAATTACTGATGAAGTCAGGATTGATGTTTGGAGAAATAATTACAAACCTCTGTTTCATCCTGGCTGTTCTTCCTCAGATTGATGGGTCAACCTTGAGGACGATCTGCATGCAGCATGGCCCACTGCTGACATTCCATCTGAACCTGACCCAGGGCACCGCCCTCATCCGATATAACACCAAACAGGAGGCGGCCAAGGCCCAGACTGCACTGCACATGTAAGCAAGTTTTTGAGACAACAATCTTCGGGGGTGTGGGATTGATGGTGTAAGCCCCTAAACTCAGTGAAAACTTTTCAGTTATACTAATCTCCTGAATTCCAAAGTCTTTTAACTGTTCTTCATCTGTTTTGTTTGTAAAGTGGCATATGTGTATTTACCTACATGGTATAGTCAGTTTTATCACTCTTGGTGTTAACATTCAGGGTCTTAGTTTAAATTCAAAAGATTTTGTTCAGGCATAATTGAATGTTGGGACAAGGGGTTTGGGGTGGTTTGGTTTGGTTTTTTCCCCATATTAAATGAAAGTTCTTGTGTTTTGAATGAGTTTCACTGTCAAAAACAGCTGACGTTTTCCATGTCCACTCCATTGCAGCAGTGTAGCTGATACCTTCTTTGGTTTGGGCACCTACTAGTGCTGTTCCTGTGCTTTCTGAATCCCTTACCTCTTGGCTCTAACAATTTTTTTTCTTATGTGTACCTTGGCCTGTAGGTGTGTGTTGGGAAACACTACCATCCTGGCTGAGTTTGCCACAGATGAAGAGGTTAGTCGCTTTTTGGCACAAGCTCAGCCCCCTACACCTACAGCAACCCCGAGTGCACCCGCAGCAGGCTGGCAATCCCTGGAGACGGGACAGAACCAGACAGATCCAGTTGGACCTGCTTTGAATCTCTTTGGTGGGTCAACAGGGCTTGGGCAGTGGAGCAGTGGTGGCGGCGGCAGCAGTGGGGGTGATCTCACTGGCGCTTCATTGTGGGGGCCCCCAAACTATTCTTCAAGCTTGTGGGGGGTCCCAAGCGTAGAGGATCCACACAGAATGGGCAGCCCTGCTCCCTTACTACCTGGAGACCTTCTGGGAGGAGGGTCGGATTCAATCTGAACTTAGAACTTTCAACTCTGACCTCGTGACCTTTTTTGGAACAGCAGCAGCACTAACTTGACCTTTTTCGTTTTTTTCAACTTGCAATAAATACATTTATAAAAGGAAAAAAGAAAACGGAGAAAGAAAAAAAGGTGGGTCATTGACAGACTGTCTGAGCACATAGTTGCCTCCCTTATATAACTTCAGTTTTTTCGTTTGGAATATGAATCCAAAAAGAGAACATATCACTCTTGAAATACTTGAATTGTGAACGCCAACTTAGAAAGACAATGTGAAGCAAGTACACATACCATTTAAATTTAAGCAGAAAAAATTAAAAAAATTAGTTTCTAGTTTTTCACTTTTTCATGTTATACGGAAGTTGTTGCTAAGAAACATATATACTGAAAAAATAGCTTTTTAACTTTGTTTGCACTGGGTGTGTTTCCGTCCTTAGGTCTACCATGTTGGGTTGGGGTTGGGGAGGGGTTCAAAAGAATAAGGGGAGGGAGGGGAAGACTTGACGGAGCCTCACTTTAAAAACAAAACAAAACAAAAAACCTAGAAAAAAAAAAATAAAAAATTAAAAACCCACAAAAAAAACAAAACAGAAAAAACAAACAAAACAAAAAAACCAACACTTTGTGATTGGCTGGTTGATAAGTACCAGTGTGTTCTGGCACATGTAACTGCCCACGTGTGCTTGTTTCTGTGTGAGTGCGTGTGCACATGTTTGTGTGTGTGCATTTTTTTCTCTATATATATAATCTTGAAGCGCTGCATTGCTGATGGTCTACGGGCTGGCTGGCCATCTGCATGTCTTGATTCTGAAAGCAAGACAGGCATGGTGGAGTCCCTGTGGCTGAAGCAGAATCCAGTTGGGCTGGATTAAAATTTATCAGTAGGTTTTTTTAAATTCATTTTAGCAGGGTGCTATCTCAAATCTGCAGATCATAGAGTGGATAGTTGCTTCCTAGCCCTTGTTCTAACCCTGTGGTAGAGCAGAACACTGCCATATCCAAAGGATTATGGGAGAGGAGAGACAATGTTGTCTTTTGAGTAACAGTCTCTTTATTTATGTCTGCTTGTGGGGTTTTTGTACTGAATGAACCCTAGAGTGTTTGTAATATAATGCAAGCCATTTATTTCTTCCAGCAAGGGGAAAAGAGGATTAAAGAAGACATTGCCATTTTTTGTGCAGCTAGACAAATGTTCTTTTCCAGTCTCTTGCAAGCTTCAGTACCTTTAAAAATAAGTTTCTTTTCTCCCCCAAACCTAAATAAGCACCTGTACTCATTCTAGAGGAATCCATCCAAAGCCTGAAAATCCAGCCCAACTAAATTAGCTTTTTAGTTGATTTACTGCTTCTATTAAAACTGACAAAAAACTAAATGGTGTCAGCAAAGTGCTGGCCAGCCTGCCTCATCTCCTGAAAGCACATGCAGCTAACTCCTTCCTGCGTCCTTCATGGTGAGCGTTACCTGTGCCAGGCCTTGGTGCCATTACAGCGCCAGACCATCACTGACAGAAACGTTTACTTACGAATGTTCTTAAACCAGTGTGTACTTCAAAGGTTTCCTTTTGTTTCTCTGTGTTGTGTTTTTTCCTGTGTACGTGGTTTTGCTTAGGGAGGTATATAACTAGCAAAGACTTTTTTTTTTTTTTAAAGAAGTATTGCACCTTTTTGTTTTTACTTTTTTCCTGTACTGTTGCTTTTTAATTTCTGTATTTAAGGAAAGGTTTGGGTTTTTTTTAGCATCAGTGTAGTAGTACTCTGGGCAGGATAGGGTTGACCTATAATCCACAGCGATAGCCAGTGTGTGCGTGCATGTGTACGCTGGGAACAAAACTTTTAAGACCTGTTGTTGTGAAAAGAGTTGTAGCAGACTTGAAGGAACATCCCTTGACATGAAGCAGGAAGTCTTTTGTGGAGGTGGGGCCGGGGGAAGAGGGAAGAGAGATGCTGGTACTTTTTCTGTAAGTGCTAGGACTTCCGTGTGGCATTGTCTGGCTGTTACACGGTCTAACGAAGTGCCGACCTTCTGTACCAGCACATACCTGTCCATTCCAGCCCTCAGAGGGAGCAGTGCTTTATCACCTGGTGGAGGGGGGCAGATAGGGGAGTCTGTTTCTTCAGCGCTTTCATTGAAGGATATGACCATGTCTAATGCATTTAACTCATGGGTTTGGTGGGCAGAAGCAAAAACAGATGCAAGTCATGGAGGGGGGAGGTTGGTGCACGTGTGTGTGTGTGTGTGTGTGTGTGTGTGTGTATGTATGCCTGTGTGCTGGGGGTGGGAGGGAAGGGCTAGGGAATTACATGGCTGTTTTATTTAATTCGCCCTTTCTATGTAAACCCAATGTCACAAGGAAGACTGACTGAGGGAAATGCTGCATATACACATGCCTGTAGATTTGTATGCAAAGCATTATGTGGTAAAAAAGTGTGAGTAGGTTGGTATTTGTTTAGTAAACTGGAGTGTGCAGCATACTCTGGCCCCTTTGGAAAATACTTTCCTATCATGTCTCCTCCATCTATCCCACCATGCACAAAGAAACAAAATGCTCTCTTTCAGCTCCTGCTAGCTGGCTAGTGCCCCTCGTGTGCAGGCATCTGTACAGCTTTGTTTCTGCTCAAAGACCAAGTGCACTCAGACACACAGAGCAGGTTCTTAAAAGTCCTGTGCCAGCAGTACTTCCTAGTGAAGCACCTTTGGCCTGAGCAAGCCAGTATCTGTTCTGTCACATGATTTGCTATACATGCTGGTTCATTGCTGTGTTCCACCCTCACTTCTCTCTCCCAACCTGCCCTAAGGTCCCTTTACCTGCACTTTGGGCTAGATGAGTTCATTGCGATACTACGGTGAAAGCCGGGTGCTAGAGCCCCTCTTGTTTACAAGACATAATGAGGGATTTGAAATATTTAAAAAGAAAAGCTAAATTGTTCTTCCATTGTAAGCTTAAAGGGAAAAAATTAAAATGTTTAAAAAAAAAAAAAAAAAAAAAAAGACCAAAAAGTGCATATATATATTTTAGATGAAGACTAACTCTGGGAGCATTTAACAGTGTTTTTGTTTTTATTTTAACATTTTATTTTCCTGCTTTAAATTTGCAAGCATTCTCAGGAATTCTAGGGTAGGAAGCCAGTTTTTTGAAGATGGTTTATTTAACCTTATCCTAGATTGATGGCTGTTTCTTGTTGATAAACTTTTACAAGTTCCTGGATCTTCAAAATGTTTGAAAGTTTTTACTTTAAAATAAAAATGCTAAAAAAAAAAAAGAAAAAGAAAAAGCAAAAAAGAAAAAACCTCCAAATGTTACTGTCAAGCGAGGGATCAAGAATTTTAAATACTTTCTAAATTAAGATACATTAAGAAAACTTCTCAATATCAGCAACAGGAATTCATTGCAATCCTAAACAATTTGTGGGAGAAGGGTTATTGTTTATTGTGCTTTGTTACTCATGCATATGCGTGCAGTTGCATGGAGAAGAGAAGTGTGTGAATGGAAACCTACTATTCCCTCTTGATTGAAACTAAAACAAAAATATCCTTCCAAGCACCTTTTTAATAGCAGAGTGAAAGTATAAATCTTATTAAAATGCAGTAGAGTTTAACTGAGAATCCTTGGTTAGGATGACTAGCAGGAAATACACGATGGTGCTTCTTTGAACCACTTCTGAACAGTGCTAAAAAAAACAGTGCTGACAGAATACTCACTAATGAAGTAGTTTTATTAGCCTGCCTTTTTCAGTACAGAAAAAAAAAAATATAGAAAAACTCCACGCAAATGTACATTGGAAGTCAACTGTCCTGTTTTCAGCTACTTGGTGAGTTTAATTCCCACTTGGAGATTCACTGCTTGCTTTTCTTCATCCACCCCACCTCCCAATCTTTCTGTTTCATTCTATATGAGGGAAATAGCTGTTAAACTCCTCTGTTCACCCTGTTGCTGCTGGCTGTCAGGGCTTAGAGTCTTGAACTTAAAAGTTCAGTGTTGGGATGGTCAGCTTCTGCCTCCCAGCTCTAGGGGTCAGGGGTTTACTCCGCCTGAAACAGCTCGGCTCAAACCACAAAAACCGCGCTAGTGCCTTGTTACATGCACCCACATGCCCTACAGTAGGGGAGGGGAGGGAAGACGAGGCAAAGTGAGGCAGTGTAGCCACTTCATGGAAATAGATGTGCCCATTCTTAAGGGAAGAGCATGCCGTGTGAGCAAGTTGTGCAATGAGTTACTTAATAGTAGTTAAGTTGTTATTATTATTATTAATAAATCAGATGCCAAATTCTGTCTTTCTCATAGCAATTGCCCAGTGTTTTCATGTTGTGCTGCGTGTGCATGTGAGTCTATTGAAAATAATGCATCAGTAGTAATAATAATGTGCTTTAAAAATCCTGTCGTGGGCCAGTAGAAGGAGGGTTTACTTAGAAAGTTTAGGATTTTATTTTATTAGGTTTTTTTTAATGATAGAATTTGAGTGCTTTGCCAGAAGCTGTGTTTTATCAAATTAGCAGTGTCCTAAAAGAGAGAAAACCATAGCATTTGGTCAAAAAGCTGACAGACTTGACATTCACTTTGGAGAAGTGGATTGTGACTGACTACGGAAGGGTTGACAGTCTTAAGTTTCAGCAGTCTGCTGGGTCCAAACCTATTGTAGTACAACAATCTGCTTCTTGTTTCCTGAATGTGCATCCTGTAAGTGTTAGTGACTGTCTCCTCAGTGACAGTTTCCCTGCATTGTCAAAGTAACATTAATCTGTTTTCCAGCTACAGTTGACAGATCTGTATGGCTTAGTCATGGCACTCCCAACCATTGCAAGTAGTGTCTGAGAATTGTGCTAACCAGACTCAACTACTGGGGACACCCGTTGCTTAATGTTGTAAAAATTCTGCTACCATTTGAGCTCCTAACAGTGAAAAGTCAGCAGGAATTGATGTTAGGAGATTCCTGGCCTTTTTCACAACTGTTCCTGGGAAGGGGTCATTGGCAGCATCTTGTTGGCAAGGTAGGGAGAAGAGGCTGTGGAAAGCACAGTTTGGAATAGGCTAAGGGCATCTCTTGCCAGATAAAAATCCAGCCACTTTGCTTACCTTACCTTGCAGTGTGTATCAAGCTGAGAGTTTTTAATCTGATAATTCTTTGCTCCATTTGAGGATTTTGTCTTAGCAGTGACAGCAGAGTCTAGCAAGCAAAACAAAGTGTTCTATAGCTCAGAAACCTGTGTTTAGACTTCTGACATTTACTTTGGAATACTTGCCATCTTTTCCCAGTGTTTTTATGTTCCTACCTGGACACTTGCCTAGCAGTCTTGAGAGTGGGGTTTTACTGGTTTGGGGTTTTTTTACAATCACAAGGTGTCAGGTTTTTCTTATTTTTTTTTTTTTTATTGTCCTTCACATTAAGTGGCTTTTGTAATGAGTAAGAATGTTAAGCCAAGTATGTTTTTAGCTCTGCAATATAAACAGGCTGTTTTCAAAAAAAACTGGGTGGGATAACCACCTCAAAAATTACGTAACAAACATTTGTATTAAGTTGGCCTCCTTTTCTTTTTTTACCATG